AACAAAGGTATCAGAGTGTCTTATATGAAAGGCTTGAACAAATAAGACTGCAGTCAGAGAAATGTTAGAATAAACTGATTAATTAAACAGTTTATTTGGCTCGAGAACTAATTTTATCTAAATGCAGATAAATATTTTATTTGTATAGATTATTAAAACGACTAAGGGAAGTAATCACTCATAAATTTACTAATTTAAGTTGATTTGCCTCCCTTCCCACTACCGATGGGACATAAATAAATACAATGGAAATAAATAAATACATATTGATAATTATTATATGGTTTGATTTGATTTTCATTAAGACTGGAATTAGTGACATCAACAAGCGTGAAATTTTGAAAAGTAAATAAACCAAATGCTTCATTTATAATGCAAATAGTTCATGCTGAATGTACTTTGAAATATGTGTGTGCTGAAGTGGAAACCTAAACTATAGTGATATGCAATTTTTCTAAAATTACAAAAATTCACATATCAGTAAAAAATATGCAGACGTCAGCAATTATGAAACAAGACGAGAATTCACTAGATTCACAATTACCATTGGAATAACTCAACATTTTTTCACGATATTCTGTTTTTAAAGGAGTTTCAAATCAATACTTCACGAAAGCAGCAGTATGAATTAAAAAAAAAGCTCCCTCTTCGCCTAGGATAAACTTAAAAAGAGAACTTAGGTAAAAACAAAAAACTGCAGTGTTTTGTGTTTATTAAGTGGCTGAGAAGCCGTTCAGAAAACGCAAAATGTTGTCTACGTTGAAATACAGTCGGCATTAAAAATGCAACAAAAATAATTGTTTCATTTTTGCATCTTGCCGTGTTGACTTTGCTGTCTGAAGTCACAATCATTTAATGTACGATTGACGCAATGGTTATGGGCACTGAAAGTGGAATCGGCGAGTGGATTTCAAATTTCAGCCAAGCTTGTTGCATTCATTTTCGCACTAAAGTGATGGATTTTTGTGTTTCCTTACAAAGGCACGAATTCATCTCTTCTTACTCAATTTATTCTCCCCCCAGCTGTAAGTTAAATAGCAAAGCAGACTGGGTTCTATAACCAGTCTAGGAGAAGAACAACTCTATATTTTAAACTTGATAAAGGTACAGGGAACCCCTCCATTGCTTTTTCAAGAAATCATAGCAATTCAAAAATAAAGAAAAGGAATCAGTGGAGATGAATGCCTGAAGGAATATGGTATTCAAAAAGAAAGAAAGAAAGAAAGAAAGAAGCAAGCAAGCAATCATTAGAATAAAGGAAAATTTTGACGAATTTAGAAGTTATTTACTAAGAAAGGATAATTGTATTGGTTCGGAACAAAGGTTCAGAGATTGTTTTAAGTGAATTTCAAAGGCAGTGTCACGTATGTGACATTTTGTTCGACTACCTTTCACTATCTTTGAGGCAGCTTCACGATTTCATACCCCACCCCCGAATTTGGTATCTTTCTGGGTAATTGAACTGGTCAAAGTGGTTTTAGACAATAGACAATATTTAGATATCTGTACATATATTTATTCAACCATATATATGCCATTTTGTTCCACTACCTATCGCAATCTTTAAGAGAGTTTTATGATTCCATCCTTCTAGAATTTGGAATATTTCTGATTGATGAACTGGTCTAAATCTTATTACAGGTTTCCAGAGAATTGAACTCTTTCCCATTAAGAGAATTTTGTATCGATAAAAAAGTAGTAATCCAATGATGTAAGGTTATGGGGGGTACGGCGAGTTTAATAGGATATCTCAGCCAAGCTGTAGTAATTACTGCTAAGAGACGTGATGGTTTGGTGTTGCACTGATGGCAGACGATATTGTTTCGATTGGTCAATTCCTGAAGCTTTGCATCGATTGCAGCCTTTAATTGGCTCAATTAGTAACATTACTTATGTGAATTCAACATTTGATTCATTTGATTTTTGCTCTCTGAGCACTTAATACACAATACCTTTCCAATCCCACAATATTCACAGTATTGCTTTCTTCGATTTACGGTAAGACATCTCATTTTCCTTATGACCTTTTTCGCTCTACATTTTTGTAAACAATCCATTTTTCATTGCCTGTGAGTGTTTTTGTTTTGTTTTGTTTTTTTTTGTTTTTTTAAAAAGTACGTCCTTCTTGTGTTTGAGTAGAGAATTGTAGATGAAAATATGGCCCATTAAATATTTTTCTGTTCAAGCAGATGACACCACATAGATTCACGTATCGAAATTCTTACAAATGTTTCACAACGTTCCTATTGATATGTGGAGTTTCTCTGTGATATCCCGTGTCACATGACCTGGATTATTTTTAATCAACGTTTCAATTTGGTAATCATCAACGACAGCAGGCATGCAAGAACATTCTCGGCCTTCAAGCTCAATATTTCCACTTTTGAACCTAGCGAACCACTTACAAACAGTACTTTCAACTATGGCACCTTTTCCATAAAGGGCACATATTTTTTTGCTGTTTGTACAGTTTTTTTCCTTTCCATTAATAAAAATGAAATGACAAAAATGCAACACATTTTCCTTCATTTGCACTTTTAATGGAAAACTTTTAGAATTAACAATCCACGCATGAATCGTATCGAAAAACGAGTTAAATTTTTATATTTCATAATATATAGATATGTCGTAAATTGCAGTCACGTGTGAAACGAAATCACGCGTTCAAGCGCCTTCTATTGAAAAACACTACGAACCTTTGTTCCAACCCAATGTTAGACTATTTTTTAAAGCGATACGTACTTGTCATGGAAATTAGCATTCAGTTCTTTTTTCTTTTTCTTTTTTAACGCGGTGTTGCTGAAAACTTATCAGCCCGACTCATTTCCTAGAATCTGATAAATTGAGTAAAAATCAGATTTTAAAAATATTTTTGTTGGGAGTGGGGGGAATCAAAAGTTTTCAGCACCCTATTGTTCCTTCAGGATCTGGCATCAACCATTGATGCTGACGGAGAATAGACTAGCACAGGATCACAATAATTCTATATCTGATAAGGATCGAACTCGTTACATTAGCATATAGTCCGCAAGACGAACCGGCAAACCCTTGCTCTACAGCAGGCACCCGATGTTTAAAAAATGAATTTCCAATTGTAACAAAACTAGTTGCTGCTTTTTCGAATACAGAGACTTTGTGCATCTATAGCGATATCAATTGTTTTTTTAATAACTAGATTGAAAAAGTTGATTTATGTTATTATTGAATAGTTGTTTTATTTCTCTCAACACTAATACCATGACGTCATCCACTTACTATATTTTTTATCGGCCAAAAGCACTTTGAAATGATAGTAAGAGAGACATGATGTAATGGCAAACAAACTGATTTTGCACATCATTACTGAGTAGTAAGTTCGATCTTTGCAGAATGCTCTATGCTGGTCGCCTTATGCCAGAACTAAGAATGAGTAATTAATTCAGCAGCTTAGTGCAAAGGCATCGACGATTTTCATCCAGACAAAACTACGAGCAAGCGTATGAATTTTCACGCGATTGCCAAACTAATTCACCAGGCGGCCACATGTGGCGTTGGCATATAAAAAAAAAAAATATGGGTTTGCATCGAAAGCAGAATTGATAGATGCGCGTAAAAATTTTCAGCGTGCGCCTCTAGTTCGGAAAGATATTCATAAAATTAGTTTCCAGTACAGTTCCGCTGTAGTCAATTCGATTCATAAAGGCCGACTCCAATATCTGACCCTATTCAGTTTATTAGGTAACGTTAAACATTTTGATTTTAATTGTTCTGCTATAAAAATAGAAATATAAAATACTGTACAACCAATCTTCCGATAACCTCTTTTAATCCGAAAATCATTTGAATTTAACGCAATTGTTAAATTAATGCATCAAGCGGCTGGCGTTGTTTGTGGCGAGAGTTTATAGCAGTCGATGATCCTGGAGAAATACAAGAGATTCATGATTAGTGTGTGCATTACTGAATTGTTAATCTGCTGGTACGGTCAAATGGATAATTCGGCACGCTTCTAGTATACTTGCACTACTAATATGACTTATCTTTCTACAAAACTGATACATATTAAGAAAAGAACCGAAAGTCCAAAAAAAAGTTAGCTTGTAATCTCTAAAGACAAAGTTATTGTGATGCTTTTGCATGTCTCTCTGCGAGGTAGTAGTTGTAGTACAGTTTTCCGTGTCCTGAATAGCAAGCAGGTTTTCTAGGTAGAGCCGTCCCATGTTCGCCAGTTGTTCTCTCCTTTTTTATACTTGTCTATCTAATTTGCATACGATACTACAGTTATGACAAACATAATGCCAGGACGATAGGGATATAACTTCTCGAACCCCGGTACGTTGAAGCTGGGATTTGACTTGTCGTAGGTCGTCCTGATATCTTTACGGCATCGGCCACAGAGATTGAGCAAATTTTGTATCTACCCACGCGTACGCATGTGAAGCTACGCATTGAAACTCAATCCTCTGTCACATTTGTGGGGAGACAAACAGCTACCAACACCCGAGCAGTTATAATAAGTGACCATAAATTATCAACGACGTACAAGTGGTATTAACTCAACCAGATATAGGTTTTTGTCTACATGACACTTTATTGTGCCTAGGCACATTAAAAAGGAAGTTCACACCAGAAAAAAAAAGATCAAATTGTTACCTTTAAATTAATGGGTTTGTTTCAGGCGTGTTACTGTTGTTCGATAGCTGTTAATTTGATTGACCTTTGACAATTAATTGTGAGTGCATCGAGCAATTGCCACATGACGTCATTGCTCGACTATTCCTTTAGCTTTCTCAAGTTTCTGAAGATGATGAGATATGTCTGTCTTGTTTACGATGTACTGCAGCTAAGACAAACACAAATAAAAAGATACTCTTGGTAGTTTTAATGCTTGATAATAAATAATTAAAGACGATCTTTGCAAGCTTCACATCGTTAATCTATCAGAAACATTCTTTTCTTACACTTTTAAATGTTAGTTAATCGGCATCTGTACTCACTAAACGCGTCTTTTTAATGGAGGCTTACGGCCATATCACGTTGAAACACCGGTTCCAGTACGATCACCGAAGTTAAACAACGTCGAACCTGGTCAGTACGTAGATGGGTGACCGCCTGGGAATGCCAGGTGCTGTAAACTTGGATGTGCGGGTGGTGTAATGCAGAGGGTCGGCAACCTACAGCACGCGTGCCACACGTAGCACGCCAAGCAATTTCCAATGGCACGCAACCGCAAATAACATCACGAAGTCCGAGGCAATAACTACTACAACGCAAAGAAGATATTTAGCTGTTTCAATTTTAATATATACTAAAGTATACTATATATTACTATATAAAATATATCGTAGAACAGGTATATTGACATTGACTTGTATAAAAATACGTATGCTGATGGCACACTGAATGATTTTAAAACCCTAAGTCGGCATAGAGTCAGCAAAAGGTTGCCGGGCTTTGTGGTAAACTCCTTAGTAGACCTAGCATAGGCTAAGAGGATCTCATTAGTATGCTTAGCACAGTGGCGAGCAATAACTGATCAATACTAAATAAGTTCCAGACAAGATATCTATAGATATAGGCAGTGAAACGAGAACAATCTAACCACGTAGATTAAAAAAAAGTTCAGTTGGAAATTCCTAGTAGGTTTCCAAATCAATAAAGTATTTAAGGTACAACGATCGAAACGATTTGATAACAACAACAAAGATATATATATATATATATATATATATATATATATATATATATATATATATATATATATATATATAAGGTTGAGCTGATAAATTGTATAAAAATGAAAATAACACTGACTTCTCATTTTAACAGATATATTTACCAAAATTACACAAAAAATATCTTGAAATACTAAAGATTACATTAATCGCTTCAATCACAGCCTTCAGAAGACTTCGCATTTGCCTGCAACTCTTCTGGGCGGTCTCCGTATTTAAATTGTTGAACACTTCCATAATCCTTGCCTTCAGTTCTTTGTGGTTACAAGGATTTTTTTCATCTCTTTCTCAACACATGATAATCAAGGGTGGGGGGGGCGGTTGCAGCCTGGGGAGTTAGGTGGCCAGATGTAAGGGGTGATCGTAGAATGATTTTAAAACCCTAAGTCGGCACATAGTTACCAAAAGGTTGCCGATTCCTGGAATGGATAATGAATCGGAATTTTTAATCAGAGAACTGACTTCCAATTCCAGTCAGGTTCGTTATATTTTTTTTCATACAAATACCTTTGGGGGAATGGTATGAATGTACCTCTTCTCCTCCTTCTCCAACTATGGGTTAATTAGTAAGACTTATTCCTCTAAATCATTATTATCTCAAAAAAAAACAAAAAATGCAATCTAAAAGTAGTTTCCGGATTTAAATTACCTGCAAAGTGTTGATAAGCTATAAAAAACGAAGGAATCAATTTTTAGTAGAATTTTTATGCTTTGATCAATTGGTTCATTTTTTACAGCTTATGAACCCTTTGCAGTTTATTTAAAGCCAGAAAATATTTTTAGATGGCAAATTTTTTTTTGAGATAATAATGAATTAGTGGTACAAGTCTTACTAATTAACCCATAGTGGGAAGAGGCAGATTCATGCCTTTCCCAGTGGTATCTGCATGTAAATGAATATAACAAACCTAAGTAGAATTAGAACTCAGCTCTTTGATTAACAATGCTGAACAATTATCCATTACACCACCCACACATCCACACTTACAATCCCTAATATTTCCAATCAGTCACCAATCTAGGAACTGACCAGACTTGATGTTATTTAACTTTGGTAACTGTATGGGAACCAGTGTTTCAGCATGATGTGGCCATAAGCAATCTTTTATGCCATGATCCTTCAAGGATGTAGGCAATCATGGCTTTCCACAGATTTTATTTCTTAATTACCTTGATTTTCTTGGGAAAGATAGTGGAGTAGTTTTCTGTTGCTTTCTCTATGGTTTTGAATTCAGAGTAGTAGTTCTCTAAGACTGGCTGCCATCCAAGGCTAGAGAACCCAGTCTGCTATTATATACGTAGCTGAGAGGAATTCATGCTTTTCCAAGTGAATGCAACAGACAAGGCTGGTATTTGAACTTGTCTCACTGATTGCTCTTTCCGCATCAATAGCCATTGCACTACTTGCACATCCACATTTATATAGAAACACTCTTTATTCTCATCGTCTGTCTAACTTGTCTGTCTTCCCTCAGTTTGCCCTACTATATCAAACAGAATAAACCTATTATTCTATACTTCATCTCCGGACAGGGCAACTATGGCTCTCCACATCTGGCAGTGAATGCTGGGTAATTTCACAATGAAGAAATGGCTTGAGCCAACAGAAATGTGGTTCTACAGAAGGATGCTGAGAATATAGTGAACTGAACTGAGCAATTTTTAGAGAAAATTGAAACAAAAAGGACACTTATACTTGGCATTGAAAAGATAGAGCTGAAATTCCTAGGGCACATAATGAGGAAAGAGGGTCTGGAAAGTTTGATATTCAAAGGACATATTGAAGGCGAGAGAAACAGAGAAAAGTAGTGAATAACATACCTAACAAGCTTGTGTAAATGGTTGGCAGAACAGAGCTTAGGAGAGATAGCAAAAAGACAAAATTTACTAAGAGCTACAAAGAGCAGGAAATTGTGAACAGCCATTATCACCCACACCCTGAAAGGACACAGCATATAGAAGAAGTAGAACAATGGGTTCTAAAAGACTAAGAAGTCAAATCTGAATTTTGAACTCTAACTTCCAATGACTGGTCACAATTATTATCATCTGACTGACGTGTGAAGTGCTTTGATGTATCATAGGTGCTGGGACAGACACAAAAGTGTTGAGGAGTTAAATGTAAAATTAGCTGCTTAAAATTGAAGGTAAAGTTAAGGTATTATTGACTGGCACATGGGTCATTTTATGTTAAATTAGGTGGTTTTTGTATCAAGTAATTTTTAATCCATTTTGAGAAGTTTGGGGGGCTTTTTTGTTCTTGTATTCTTTGTAGACAGACATTTGCTTGTGTGTTGTATTTAGAAGAGCTTAAAAAGACTCAAAATGCCTAGAAATCTGAGAAGGGTTTTAAAATTAAGAGTTGTGGCTTATGACAATAATGTGGAAGTAAAATAGGTTCTACGAATTAATAATAATAACAAATTTTATTTGCTTTACAAAAATAACATTTAGTAAGCTCAGCTTAGCATAGTACAAGATCAAATAAAGAGAAATGCAACAAGAGGTAAAATGTGTTATACGATTATACCAATTAGAAATAGTAATGCAAATATTAACCGTTTCCTTATAAGAAAACATTTGGCATTCATTGATTGAGCAACCAGTGTTACTGTCAGTTGAAATTTATAAAATCTTTCTATTAAAACAATTTTCAGGAAAATAGATTTCTCAAGTCTAGTAGTTGTTATCGCTCTTTCCTGTATTGATAGCAGTTTCCTTTCTAACCTTTTGTATGAAGTAGTGTGGAATGTCAACATCTTGTTTATGTCATTATTTTCTCTTCAAGTTATATGTGCTATCTATTTTAGCTGTTGCTGTTGTTGAAAGTCATCGAGTAATGTGGTTTCTGTTATTTGGCCCAATTCTTTGTGATTCTGTAGTGCCAGTTCATACAGCTTACACTTTAAATTTCTGATATCCATATGAATGTCTCTATCTGACAAGGCTATTTAAGAACATGACTTTAGTTCTTAGATTAATGTTTTGGTTTTGTAGCATCTTGTGGTATTGTGTGAAACTACCCCTAGCTCAGCCTATTCTGATCATCAGTATTCAAAATTATAGCTTTTAACTGAGTTGGAACATTAACCACTAGCACTGATGACCAAGCTTCATTATCTTATCGATAGCTTAAAAAAAAACAACTAACCTTTTAATGATTATTTTATATATGATGCATATGATATTAGTTCATATGTGATAAAACAAAGAGGATTTATAAAGAAGCAAGTATAAGAGTAACAAAACTAGGAAGTTGTGGAGAGCCTTGATGTTCCACATCCTAAAAGAATATCACAGAGAAGAATAAAAAATGTAGAGTTACACATAAACACAATACATTTTGACTGAACACTGACAGAGAGAAATATGATATGGGGAGCTGAAAACAACTTGTACACTCTTCTTAGTAGTAGGAAAAAAAATGTCAGTCTTTATAAATTAGTAAAAAAAATGCTTCTTTTTCTTTATTATTTGTTCTGGGCCGGTGTATGCATTGAGAAATAAACACATGTGTCTCCTGAAATGCCCCAAACCAAAATAGTAGACTTGGAATATGAGCCCATATAAAAACAATGTAAAGGAACAACAAGGACCAATATGTACAAACAAATGATAATGTATTAACAATAAAGGGTTACATATAAGGAGAAAGAAAATGATGGTTGATGTAGCATTTAATTTTTTGAAAATCATGGTTGGCAAAAATGTGGGAGGCCAGAAGAATGCCCCTCACACTTGTGTCACTGAAAAAAAAAACCCTAAAAACTTGCATTTTCTTTCATTTTTTGCCGTTTTTGCCTTCCTGTTGCTCAGAAATGCAGCATGAGAGGATTTGTTTTATTGGTTTTGGGTGAACCTTTTTGATACACACAGCATGATGAGAGAAGGTGAGGTGGTTTGCATGTGTCCAGGATTTTTACTGTGAAAGAAGGTTTTTGTGAATTTTTAAAAAAAATTTCCATTGGGATTTTTCCAAGTTAGCTTGTTGCAGGCCAGTTTATGCATTGTGAGATAAACACGTGTGTCTCCTGAAATGCTCTCAACAAACATGGCAGACTCAGAGTATGAGTCCACCTAAAAAATATAAAGAAACAATAAGGACCACTATATATGTGTATAAACGGATGATGATGATGTATTAACAATAAAGGATTAGTATGCAATAGAATATTGTTGTGTGTTACTGAACAATGAACACGAACGAAGAAAACATTTAACCTAGTGAATTGTTTGTGTATGTGTAATTGGGTGTAGGAGAAAGTCCTAGAAAAAATGAAGTGAAAGGTGCGTACATACGTGTGTGTGTATGTGTGTGTGTGTATTGTTCATGCGTGTCCCAAAATTGGGAACGCGTTCTTTCGGGGGAAATTTATATGCTGACATAAAAAGTAAGAAGAGGCTGTGAATAATTATTGCGGGGTATTTATAGTACCAGAAAGCGTCGCCTAGTAGTGGTTTTGAAAATTAGGAGAAGGTAACCAGACATTATTCAATATGAGGAATAAAAATGTTTTTTTACATCTTTGTCCATCAGAGAATTTACAAGTATGAAGTGTAAAACATAAAAATATTCAGAAAAATAATTGCAGGTAAGTAAACATTGTTCATGGATTAGTTTAAGAATTTCATGAATAACCCTTGAAATTAGGAAATTAATCATGTACCTTCTATGTTGGAGGCATGGATGTAATGGATAGTGGCTCAGATTGAGGAATCGGAGAGCCAAGTTCGAATTCCGGTCGAATCCATTACATTCACTTACATGCTAATACCCTTGGGAAAGGTATGAATCCTCTTCTTCTCTCCCAGCTATGGATAAATAGCAGGACATACTGGGTTCTATAGCCTTGGATGGCAACTAGTCTACCATGAAAGAAATGGCAACTCACTGTGCGAAAAAATTTGCGGGAAGAAATATTTTGTTATGAATTTCCTTATGGTAGCACATGATGATAGAAAGTATGGACATGGAGAAGAGCATATATGGTATCGTCTGTTTCAGAAAAGCCAAAATCAATTGCTGCATGAAGTGAGAAAAAATTATGCTCTTGAGTGATGTTTTATTATGTTGTCATTATATATTGATCAATTCATGTGCATGTTATGTTTTAATTTTTACTAAAGTAATGATTTATTTTCATTGAAATGCTTCAAATAATTACTATTTGTAAATTCAGGGATATAATCAATGGGGTAACAGATGGGAAAATAAAGTAATTCTATTATTTCAGTAAGTGAGACTGTATATTTATTATTAGAGACCAAAATACTTTAGTCAAACAACATTACTAAGTAAATGATAGAAGATAGTGGATGAGCAAGTTAGGATTGAACTTACTACCTATTGTCTGTCAGAAAATGTGACATCAAAATCTGAAGGTGTATTGAGATAGTGAAAAAAAGATGCCTTTCAAAAGCTAAGTAAAGTGCTAAGAAAAAGGAAAATTATCTGAGAAATGAAGTAAAGAGAACTGAAGACTTGTGTCATATCAGTCCTCCTATATGGCAATAAATGTTGGACAATATCCTCACAGATGAAGAAGAGACTTGAGGTAACAGAAATGTTGTTCTACAGAAGGCTGCTGAGAATACCATGAACTGAATATGTGAGCAACAACAAAGTTTTAGAGAAAATGGAGATGAAAATAGCACTTATACTTAGCATCAGAAAGAGACAGTTAAAAATTCTCAGGCACTGAAGAAAGAGGGCTGGGAAAATTTGACATTCACAGGACATACTGAAGGCAAAAGGAACAAAGAAAAACAGTGCCTGACCTACTTAAGAAGCTTGTGTAAATGGTTAGAAGAACAAAGATTAGAAGAGATAGTAAAAAGACACTTTATTAAGAGCTACAATGGACAGAAAATTGTGTAGAGCTATGTTTGCCCACACCCTGAAAGGACATGGCACATAGAAGAGGTGAGATCAATCTATACATCCTTTGTAGACTATATAAAATTGCTTGTGCAGAGCAGCAGAAGCAAAAGAAGACTTTGGCTGGGTAGCCTTCAACCAGACATGCCTGTGATTATTAGATACATAGGACACTAAACCTGTTAAATTGTGGAACAGACTCCCCAAAAAATACTTCCCAATCACTACACTCTTAACCTCTTGAAGTCTAGGGTCAACTGTTATCTATCCTACATATCCTCATAATATGCACCTCTTATTCCCTCAACAATTTCATTCAGTAACCCTCTACTTTGAGTAGCTCTTGGGCCTTGTATTGGATGGATAATAGTATAAAAACATTTATAAAACAATTCATGAAACCAAGTTACAAAACTTTTAAACATTATTTTTTTTTATATTAACTTGATCTGTAAAATGAACTTGGGTTCATTTATTTCATTCTGCATGAACAGAAGAATACTGTTTATAATGTAATGGTTCTGTGACTGGTGACAAAAATCTAAACGAATTTTGTAAAAAGAAGTAATTATTTTGCAATGATATACAAATAAGAAAATAGTGAATGAAAAAAATACAAGGGAATTAACTCGTTATACAAGGAATTAACTCCCTTTACGTAAATGCCAAGCAAACAATAACTCATTCAGTTAAAAAATAAGTAATACTTTCTGAATTTATTTTGGATAACGGTTAGAGTTATAAAGAAAATATGTAAATGAATAATTATATATATATATATATATATATATATATATATATTCATTCATTTATTCATTCAAACTAATATTTGGAATGTATACATTCCAAACATTTATTATATATAAATAAATGTTTGGAATGTAGGTACGTTCCAATATATATATATATATATATATATATATATATATATATATATTTATAAAAAAGACCCTGTCCATTCAAGATGTGGGTGATCCATGGACCTCCATAAGTTCCTTTTCTTTAATATGTCTGAACTTCTATGCCATCTTGGGGAAAATGTTGTTTCCTGTAGCCTTCTTCATGGTTTTAAATCCAATGTTGTTCTTCTTAGACTGGCTAGCACCCAAGACTAGAGGGCCCAGTCTACCCTGCTATTTTACTTCATAAGCAGTGGGGAAGAAGAGTCATGCTTTTCCCAAGGTTATGAGTGTGAAGTGAATGCAACAGAATAAACCAAAATTTGAACTCAGCCTATCAATTCCACTGTCTGTACTGATAACCGTTATGCTACCTACACAGTGCAAATGACTGATAAGAAAATTATGAATTAAGTTAGGTGGAGAAGGGGAATACAATGAAAATTCTTTTAAAAAAATATTTATATATCCCAGCATGCCTCAGCTTGCTTTCTATGTATTTCTATTGTTTTCTTCTATTTTGACACATTGTTATTTTTTTTCTTTTTACTACTGGAATTATAATTGATGATAGCATCACACATACCTAAAATTTTTCCTTGAAAAAAATACGAGAATGCAAATTTTTTATTTTAATAGACAGTTGAGTTGAGTATGAAGTGCAACTAAATATAAACTGAAACTTTATAAAAAGTAAATCTGCTCCACTTTCAATATGAAAAAAGTAAAGCCTGAATTTTCTTGAAATTACCAGCATTCCTTTTTAATTAAAAAAAAACCCCAAAACTGTCAAATATTAAATCAGCTAAAGCTTAACAAGAAAAATAGGCTTTAACATAGATAAAAACTATGATAATTCAATACTGATTAAAAACAGTTGATTTATAGCTAGGAATTTTATTTATTATATAAAATGGATATATCAAATTTATGATGAGTAAGTTCTAATTAGCTTCAAGTATTGTTATACTACACAAAAAGCCTGACAATTGATTCAAAAGAATTTGGAAACTAAATTTGTATATCAAAAATTGCTTTTGTAATTTTGATGATTTCTTGCTGAAAAACTGAGGACAATTTCTATAATTATCTATTATAAAATGCTATTTTGTACAAAAGAAATGTTGCCCATTCAAGCATGTATGTGTGTATAAGTGTGAACTTGAAACTTTGTAAGCATCAAGATAGAAAGTAAATATTCTAATCCAGTAAATAAGGAAACAGACTAAAACACATAAACAGAAAATCAAATAGAATTCTGACAAAAATGATACCAATCAATGAGCAGATTTTATTGAAAACAGTTGAATGAGATTTTTTTGTCTAACCTCTTTTCATTATTGGAATTCATATTAAATTCTTTGACTTGATCAACCTTTTGCTTTTCATCAATTCATTTTTCAAAGTTTTTCATCTGTTCAACTACAATTTTATTTATTACTTTCATAGCCACACAACAATTCATCTTTCAAAATTAAAATAGTTTATACAATATCAAAATTCCAACTACCTGTGCTAGATCACCAGTATATATGGTATTTTTGTCATGGATATATGTATCTTTTTAAAGTTACTAATTGATGACCTGACCATATAAGATCACATGCCAAGTGAGTAGGAGGGAAAATGAATCTTTATTTAGCATAATAGCAGTTTCTATAGTAAAACTACCTTGTGATAAAAAACTGAATGAACAAAGTCCCATGTAGTTATAGTAAGAAATATAAGGGAGGAAACTAGTTGTATCTTAAAAACCTTAAATCTGAAAGATTATGAAAATTCAGGTATAGTAAATAGTGGGTGGCTATTTGAAGTGGATTTAAAGGAAAAGTATTTTTAATAAAGAAATTACCCAATATGACACACCTGACAAAAAGGCAGAAAATGCATTAGCAGAAAAAATAATCAAAATAGTTCATGGAATAATGTCAATCTTTAATTTCAAGAATTCAAACATCATCTACAATCCTCATGTTTTTATTGCTGTTTTGAAAAAGACAATTTTCTATCCTTTTGTAAGCAGAGAGTTGTATATAAAATTTTATAACAATAAAGTTAGATATGTGACAATCTCAGTGATGAAATAAAAATGAGATTAAGTCTAAAAATCAGTTGATAAATTTACAATTATAGTAAAATGACGTTATTTTTTGTATTTTTTTTTTACAAATATCACAGACTTTATTTTGGGTTTCATGCATTTTGTATATTGCAAAACAGGAAAATGTGCTGGCAATACCCAACAAAGTTCATCATAGAGCAGAAGGCTTAATTGCTAAAAGTAAGAAATTTCTGGGTGATAACATTGGTTCAAAGATAGGCACCAAGGCACAGCCAAAACCTGAAAGAGGAGAAATAGGAATAAGATTCTTGTTTTTTTTTTTTATTTTATTAAATATGACAGTAAAAGCTTTTCTTTAGGAAGGTACTAACAAAAAAGGAAGTTCTGTTTTTAAACATTAACATCAAATATCACATCTCAATGCCACCAAATACTTGTGAAGGATATAATTTAAGCAGTTAAATTGCATATCACTTTAATACAATATTATTATATACAGACGAGATCTGTTAATAAAATATTTTGCATATATGAGTGCAGGTTGCATGAAAAAAAATTTTTTTAATCATTTATTCAAAATCTAAGATTCCTAATTGATATTAGGACTGGCATGCTTACATTAAATATTTTTATAATGCCTTTCTTACAAGAAACAATAGGAAAAATTGTGTTTAACAATGCATCACCAGCCTATAAATAAAATTTCAAGGGATCTTAAATCTGAGAATGCTTTTCATAGATTAAAATTTAAATCATTCTTTTGATTAAATTTAAAGAAAAGTTGGATACCTCACTGTGTTTGCAAGCTATTCATGTTGATCTTTTACTACATTTGATCCTCATAGGGTGACCTTGTGCTCGATTAAGCTTAGTAAATATGAATCAAAGTAAAGGAGTTCTACTCACACAGGTTTACTAAATTGATTTGTGACATTTTTAAACTACTTATTTTCCATTTCTCCAAGTAGCAATTGACTTAAATAAACTTTCAATAACCACATTTTTTGTTGTTATTATTATTATTATTATTACAATAGCATAAAGTAGACTGTCTTTTAAATTTAATATTGCTTACCTAATTCATTGAGATGAAGCACTCTGTCCAACAATAGCAAAGTCTCAACAACTGGGGCCAAACTCAAGCGAGTTGTGTAGAAACAAACTACTTCTTTCCAACAATTCTGTGTGTCTTTACATTTCTTGATAAGGTCAGAAGGTACATCACTTATATCATATCCCAAATATTTCAAAGCCTTTTCTAAATAACTGTAAAAGAGAACAACAAAATAAGAAACAAATGATGGGTGATATGCAAATTTCTTCTTCTCTAAAGTAAAACATTTCCTGGTTGAATAATATTCCATTATGAAGAGTCAAAAGTAGTCATTTAATGAACAGGAATCCTATTATAATTGTTGTTGTCTCCTCCCTTTGTTAGTTTGCACGACCATTACGCCCTGCTAATACCTCATAAATAATGGACTATTCTGTTTTGATCACATGAGAAAATAAAATATATCAAAGAAGATACAAGCATTTAACATCTGTTTCAGTGAAATGGAAATAGGAGAATTTCTGAAATCAGTGAAATGCAATAGGAGAATTTCTACAAATATTCTATTATTGCAGAACATGTCATGAGCTTACTCAATCATTAACTGAAGAATTAAGGTTCATTAGAAATTTAAAATAGGAAAACTGTGAAATTTTCACAGGGGGTTAAAAATAGTAATAAGAATTTAACAAACCACATTCACGATTAAGCATCAATATCATAGCACCATATTATTCCTAGAATTTTTTGAGTGATTGAATTCATTTTTTTTAATTCTTTCTTTGACATTTCAGCTGAAACATCTCATGGCCTTCTGCTGCTCTGCACAATCGAGATATAAAGAACAAAAGTTTTGGTTTTTCTTAGCAGTGCAAAACAAAAGAAATTATATTCTGGAGACTTTATTCTTTTATTTCTTTTTAGAGAAATGCTGCACTGTAGTTAAAATCAATTTTATCAAACCAAAACACTGTTCCTTACTAGGAACTTCCAACATTTAATTTATAATGAAACCAAAGTCTTTCATGATTTGAGTTTTCCATTTTTCTTACCATTTTTGAATGAAGTTATAAATAATGATTGAGGGGGCGCCTACTGCAGAGCAGTGATTAGTAAGTACATCTTGCAGATCAATTTATTAGTGTAATAAGTTCAATCCCCATTGAGTGTCCCATTAGTCTGTTTTAACCTTAATGGATTATAAATAATGATCAAGACAATATTTACACTTCTGATTGGGGTCCTGAAGTTTGAATTTCTTATTCATCTTATGCAGTATTTGTTATTCCATGAATTAAATTTTGCTTTTTTTTTTTACTTATTTACTAAACTTAGTTTTGGAACTTCATTCTTATAAGTGCAAGTTAGAAAGGATCTGTATAACTTTAATGATTGCTGTTTCAATAAACTGACTAAAATTACAATATATAAATAAATAATCAAATATTTGGTAAAGAAACATGTGATTTTAAAGAGAACTTGGCATATAACTAAAATTTAAAAAGATAAATTCATTTTAGCTAAAAGGATTTTAAACAATAAAATGTGAATTTTATATGCTTTTATTTGGTTTTTATAAAATATTTCAGAGATTTAAGACAAAAGACTTTAACCAGTTAATAAACATTGGCAGACAAACTGAAGAAAGTTTTAAAATATTGAAAAGATCATGAATGCATCAACCAAGAGGAATTATGTAAGTTTTGTTTTTTACCGATTTGGAATATTAAAAATAATCACTTCAATGCAACTGCTCCAAGTCTTAGAAAATATCACAGTTTAAATGAAATAAAAGCAAATAATAAAACCAAGCTTTTGTATTAAAGGCATTTCCAAAATCACTAAATGAAAATGCCATCCAACTGGTTGGGAACAAATCTTTTGAGTCATCTTTTTGCCAGATTATTATTTTGAACACAATTAAGTAGAGAAGAAATACTTTGACTTTTATCATAAAATATCTTTTCTGATTTTTATCAGAACTTTAAGGAATCAAAAGGAACATAAAACCTTTTAAGTTGATACTTTTGAAAAACTTTTTAAAGTAAAACCTAAAGAAAAATGAATGCAGACGTTTATATCACAGATAATTACTATTCATAACTTTTGGATGGTTGTTAAAATTAGCAAACTGTTTTCCAAATAGTACATTTGCATTAAATCTTATCAAATTATTGGGGCTTACATTTATTCTGATACAAAATTAAGTATTATGTTTTTAGCTAATTCTAGTTGCTTTGTGCTGGAGATTTAAAAATAAGCTGAGCTTAGTAGGGCAAAGGGTAAAAAGCCACAAATATCATGGTACAAAATATTTCAGCACAATATTGCAACCTTAAACTGAGAATGGTGAGAAATAAAACAGGATGCAGCTTCCATTCATCCATGCTAAGAATATTGCTATCACATATGGTCTGGTGTCCCTGCTATTTATCTTAAGCACCTTGACTCAGCTTCAGTCACTTTCCCACCTCCTTAGGTTGCTTCTATGTATCGTTTCTATAAATACTTTCATGGTAATTGTTTGGATGAGCTCTTCACTATGGCACCTAGAATTTTTGGTTTCAAGATCTCATCAATTTACAGTTGTGCTGACTAGATGTAGCTGTAAATTCTATGCAACAGTTTCTTTTCTTGCACTTCTTGTTTGTGGAACTCCCTGTTGGTTCCATGCTTTCTAGCCAACTTTAATCTTCAAAAATTTAAATGCAGTATCAATTGCTATCTGCTGTCCTCCTGATAAGTCTATTCTCTTCCTGCTCATTATTAATGTTTCTGTTCCTAATTCTTCCACACCCAGTAACCCCTTGTGTCTTAGTTGCTTTACTGCCTTGCATGGGGTGAAACTGATTATAAAAGAGAAAAAAAACTGATCAACATCATTGGAGAAGAAGAACCACCCTATGCGCAGAAATGAGTGGGTGGACATAACTAAATAGGGCAAAAGGCTAAAAGCAAGAAATACAGGCAAAAAGATTGTATTGTGTCAATCTTTGAAGTGGCAAAGGTCAGTTGCCCAGCCTTGAAAATCAGCATTCAAAATATTGGTGTTTTTTTTATTAGTAATCATTACAACAATTATCTAACTACCACCAAGTGGTCTTGGTTGTTTTGTATATGACTAAAAATAAAAATACATGGACTGCTTAATTCGATAATTTTGTAAAAGAGGCAATTTTTAAATACAAATTAAAAAAAAATCTGCTTGCAGTTAAATAGTGTTTAGCAAATTAATCTTGAAAAGTATTATTTATAAATTCTGAGTGTCCCACTTTTATGATCTTATACCACAATAAAATAACCTGTTTCACTTGCCAGGAATGACTGCAAAACACTAGCCCCTCCCCAATTTATAAGTAGAAGCACACAAATGCATACTGGGATTTTTCCCTAGCCAATAAAATAGTCCAGTCCTCAGTCTCATCTGACTCAGTTCCAGTCTGTCTTGTGTTAAAGTCCGAATGCTATGTTTGCTTATCCAAACTTGCTTTTGTGTATCAATCCCAATTCTTAGTTTGTGAACTTTTTGCTATATTACTGTTGCTTTGCCTTATTACTGTTAATTTGCCTTATTACTGTTGCTTTGCCTTATTACTGTTAATTTGCCTTGCATATTTTGTTTGCTTGCTTTATATTATTTTTTTTGCTGTTCTTTTTTTTATTTTTTTACTTGTTATTTCTTATTGCAAACTTTATCAATTCTGTTTGTTGGACAGTTCTGTTACTTATTTTGCATTTGACCATGGCTACTCACCCCCCCACTTAAAAATATCCTCAGTTCTATCACAGAATAATGGTTAACAAATTAGTCATAAAAACATTGCCAGCAACAAATGACCCAGTATTATGTCCCTGTGTCAGACTGAGTTAATTTTAGTTAATATCTTTGTCTGCATTACATTAAGTAATGATAATAAGTAAATAAGTCTCAAAATCTATTGCTAGTTTGATACTGTTTTCAATTTAGACAAAATTATGTTCAAATTTATAAAATGAATACAAACAAACAAAAACACTTGTATAAATCACTTATAAAAATGTAATCTTGAAAACTTACATTTCAAAAGATAAATTTTCTACATTTTTAATGGCCAACTTAACACAGCCATGTTTAAAATCTGGAAGGACAGTTCTAAGCACAACTTGTAAAGCAGCACGGTACCAGTGTCGCTGTAGACTGGGGCAATCATCTTTAAAAAATTAAAATCAAGAAATGAAAAGTAGAAAATGTTTCCAGGTGTTTTACATTGACAATTCCTGCTTAAAAAGACACGTTTGGTAGAATTAATGATTTTTAGCGTTATGACAGCATTAATATTCTTCAAATAAGGAATGTATTGGTATTTCTTAATGTAGTTAAAATTCAAGAATATCAAACTCATTAATTATATGCAATTTATTAAACCAGGTTAATAACAGAATCAAAGCATTTTTTCAATGATTTAATTCAAAACATTTCCATTTTGATAAAAAATTTCATGGAAATGCCTTGGATGATGTGATTACCCACAACTTCATATAAAGTAGAAAAGTAGAACATAAAAGTGAACATAAAATCTTTTGGTAAAGTTTTCTCTCCAAAATATGTTGGATTCAAATTGCTTAGGTAACATTTTTAACTAATTTAATATTTTAAGGATAATTTAAACATTTTGACATTATCTATTCAAATAATATAAATAGACTTGAAAAAATAAACAATTTACTTTAAATGATAAAACTTTTTTTTTGGTCAAGTGGCTGTAACACTAAGCATTCTTACTTTGTATAATAAATAAGGTCAGCGTAATTTTGATTATACTTTTGTACAAATCTATACATAAATTATGTACTACATGAATTTCTCATTTAAGTTAAACTTCTGTATCTAATTAAAACAGAAATGTATTGTAATGAAAGGCTATGAAGGAATGCTGAAAAGTTCTTAGCCTGAACTAATTCCCTTTCAATGACTAAATATTATATTTGGTGTGGATAACAAAACTTAATATATTAAAAAATTTCATTTTTAAAAAGTGTGTCACCAATGCAAAGTATTTGGGAAGATCTGAGTTAAACTCATAATAAAATGACAGAATTATAACACTGAAAATGTTTCATTTTAATGTTGGTGCCTCCACTAATTCATGATGCCTAAGGTTTAAAATGAATTTTTAAAAATGAAAAGGCTTTCTTGAAACAGTTGTCCAGTGCTTTCTGCATTCTATTGAGGATTCTTCTAGACTTGATGAATTAATTATGATTATTCAAATCCCCCTAATAATTTCTATATATATATATATATCCTTGCTTGAATCAGCTTCTAATGCTCTGGATGGAGTGGCTTGGGGATAGAAGATGTGACTCATGGGGGCACAGTCTGTTTGTATGTTGACTTGGATGAGTCACACAACGGAATTTGTGAAGTGCAGGCACTGTAGCAAGTCTAGTTTGTTACCTCTTTGTCATCGAGACCCATTGGTCTAGTGGGTATGACACCTGCATCATATCATAACAGTCTAGGTTCAATTCTCAATAGTAGATGCACACTGCTGATGAGTCCCAAAATAGGATAAAATGGCTGTCCAATGCTTTCTGCATTCTGTTGAGGATTCTTCTAGACTTGATGACTTACTTAATTATAATTATTCAAATCCCCCTAATAATATATATATATATATATATATATATATATATATATATATATATATATGCTTACCCACTGTTATTTATTAATGCTGAAAAATTAAGTTTTACTATCTCAATTTTTTAGTTGGTTGTAGACATCAGAACTTATACGAAGTCATTACTTAATATGAATTCTTTCCCAATTTTTTTACATTTTTTTTTTTACAGGTTAATCAGAGTAGATAGACTCACTTATCATCTGGTCTGCACTCCTTACATGTTTATTGAACAGGAGTAGACGTTCATCCCTTATTCCCTGTTCAAGATATGGTTTACCAGTTCTTCTTTCTCCTACCAGGGCCACAATGATTTAACAGTCTTAACTCTTTGGTGATGAGACTAACCAATAGCTGTGACTTTCCATTATCGTGAACAGTCCCGTAGAAGCATGTGAGCCAGAGTGGCTTGCATCTGATGCAAAGGAAAATAAGGGTCTTACTCTAACATGCGGCACGTGACATCAGAAGATTGCTCCTTGAAAATGTCATTACTCTCCCATCTAATCATTCCAGCAGTATGTGTGGTAACAAGGGTTTTTGTACAGTTTGGCATGCTTTGACCAATAGCAAGTTGTGTTCTGATTAGTCGAACTGGAGGAGGTTATTTACCTGGGTAACTGAGAATAAAAGTGAAGAACGCAAATTGGTTGGTTGACTGCGGTGTTGGCCTGATAAAAGAGGGCTGAAGCAGTGAGAAAAAGAAAAGAAGGATTTATGTTTTGAAGTGTGCGGAAAGCAAGAACAGTGGATTGAGCCAGTGGTATCTTGAACTGTACGAGTGACATCTGAGTAATAGAGACTCATTTCAGCTACAGTTGGCAGCTTGCTGACTGCTGTTATCGACTAGTCATTAGGAGTCCAAACTTTTTGGTTAGTGCTTAAAGCTGCTGCTCTGATCAACAGTTGCATAATATCGGGTTATCTGTAGTGCCATATCGTCCTGGTAAGACGTTAAACTACATCCACATCCTGGGTAAGAAGATAAACTACTCCAGCAGCAAGACCTCTGATTAGGAGATTTTGAGGAGGGTAGAAACACCTCTTAATTGCTGGTGTTCCCAGGTCCACCCTGACCTGGGGTTGTAGCACCTGTTAGGGTCCCAGCTAGGGGCAAATAGTTAACTATTGCCAGATATACTTTTTGAAAAAAATTATTACCAGCAATACAATTTTGAAGGAAAAGTATTACCAGAAACAGATTTTTGACAAAATAAAAATATTACCAGCAATAAAAAATTTTGTCAGCATTAAATAAGCCATTGAGGTTGATATGCCGTAAAACAAAATAAACCAAACCAAAGCAAACCTGTAGTACCATGTCACACATGGGTAGGTGTCTCTGCATGTATTTCCAGTGGGCAACCCTGAGGCTACATTATACCCTGCTCTCAGCTACACACTGACAACAGATAGTGAAAATTATGGTGGTCTTTTTTTTTTCTCTCTCCTCAAAAATATATCATGGAAATAACAACAAAAATATATAGAATTAAAGCAGCTAACAAAAAAACACCCCTCCCCCTCTCTCAATCGTTCTGTTTCCAATATTTGTGGTATCTGCTCCAATTTCTGCAGCGTAGAAGCTTTTCTCCGGGAAAAGTCGCCAGATATCTTTGTCCTCTGTGAAACCAACTTGAATTCTTCCATTGCTACCAATGAATTCTTGGTTTTAGGGTATCTTCCCTTTTGCTGAAAAGATTCCAGCATTCACATGCATGGCCTTCATGTTTACATCTGAGATAATTTTCCAATGGCCAGGGAATTGTATCTTGAGGCCGCTGACTACTCTTTCATGTGCTTTCATCTTTTGCTACTAAACTTTGTCAACTATCTCTTTTTTTCCTTATCCCTTCCTCTCTTCCCAAGACTGCAGTATATTAGACGCAATAGCTGACAGTATAGAAAAGGCACTTTCTCTCCAGCCATCTGTGAACATCTTTGTCTTCGCTGACTTTAATGTTCACCGTGACACATGGTTGAAACATTCTGAAACATTGTACTGATTTTGCCGGTATGCAAACATTAAATTTTCCCCTGCCCAATCCCTTACTCAAACCATGAGCTTCCCTACTTGTTTCCCTAGCCAAACTGAGCAACATGCTTTTCTATTGGATCTATTTCTTACCTCCTCTTCCCACTCTTGCCAAGCTTCACAATACTGCCCTCTTGGTAACTCAGACCACTCTGTCATAGCTATTGATATCTTCTTCCAAGCATCCATTAAACAGGAACCCCCTATTCATAAGAGCTCTTTCTGGTATTAGCATGCTGATTGGGACACATTCCAGGATTTTTGTTGTGACGCCCCTTGGACTGACTTCCTCAACCTCCCAATTGAAAATTGTGCAACTGAGGTTTTTTCTTGGGTCAAAGCTGACATGGACACTTCCTTCTTGGAAATACCAGGTAAAACTGCAATCCTCGCCATGGTTCATGCCAGCATGCTTGGCCACCATAGCACACAGGAACCATTATTTCTGGTTATAGCAGTGTGACAGATTGCGTCATAACAGGTGCCTATTTACTACTGCTCATAACAAATGTGAGTTCTCAAAAAAGCTAAGTCCCTGCTTGCTGAGAGAATGAGGCACTGTATAGGTTCTAAAAACTTTGGATCTCATGCTTACTGGCATCTCTGTAATAGGGTACTAAATAATAAATTCTCTGTTGAGTGACATGCATATAACCCCTTCTATGCTTTTATCTTTAACCTTGATCCTCACAAAGCATGTGGACTCAATGGCATCCCTGTTATAGTCATTGTGCTCATTAACTAGGTCCTGTTCTCTTTAAACTGTATAATAAATGCCTCATTGTTGCTTTCCTGATTGCTGGAACTCATTGTCTGTTGTTCTAGTTTTTAACTTTGGTGAACCATTTGTCACATCCAACTATCGGCCTACTAGCCTTCTGCCTCTTTTTAGGAATCTCCAAGAGGCTCTAATCAATGCTGAATTGGTTCATCATCTCTCATCACAGGACCTTTTCTCAGACAAGCAATATGGCTTTTGTTTCTCCAGATCAACTGCTGATGTACTAATGATAATTGCGGAAAGAGTCTATCAGGTGATGCCTGGGCTGTAGCATTGGACATTTTGAAAACCTTTGACAAGGTCTGAAAAGCTACACTATCTCTAGGCATGTTTTTGAGCTGATCCAGTTGTTCCTATCAAATCGTGAAATGAAAGTTGTCCTGAATGGCCACTCATCTACATCCATTTATACTAATATGAGTGTCTCCCAGAGCTTCATCCTTGGTTCTATGCTGCTTTTAATCTTCATTAACAACCACCCAAATGATATCAGCTCTCAACTTGGCATCTATGCTGACAACAATAGTAAGGCTGATCAGTCAGACAAGATCAAAATGGCTGCTGATGTACAAAACGACCTCAAGACTGTCATTAACTGGGGCAAAAACACCTCCAAAACTAAAGTTCTCTCCATGAATCATCTGAGAGACCCCTCTCTGCCTTCCATCAGCATGGCTGATGCTATCTTTCAAGAAAGTGACTTATTGCACCTTCTTCGGCTAGCGTTCTCATCTGACATGAAGTGGGAATCCATTGCTAGATCAGGTGCTAAGAAAGTTGGTTCACTATGTTGGACGAGACAATTTTTCTCTCCAGAATCTACTTTGCATATCTATAAGTCTACCATTTGCCTGTGCTTAGAATATTGTTGTCATGTATGGTCCAGTGCCCCTACTATTTTCCTGGAGCTCTTTGATAAGTTCCAAAGAAAAATCAGCAATATTATTGGCCCTGATCTGGCAGCTCAGCTTCAGTCACTTGCCCACCATTATAAAGTTGCCTCTGTGTCTTTTCTATAAATACTTTTATGGTAATTGTTCAGATGAGCTCTTCACTATGGTACCCTTAGACTGTATGAATTTAAGTGCAATACTAGACTGGCAATGAGATCTCATCAATTTCCAGTTGAGCTGACTAAATGTAACCGTAGCTTTTATGCTGACAGTTTCTTATCTTGCACTTCTTGCTTGTGGAACTCCCTCCCAGCTCCATGCTAACCAACCAAATTTAATCTGCAAAAATTTAAATGCAATGTCAATCACTATCTACTGTCCACCTGATTGCTCTTTTCTTTTTCTTCTCATTACTAATGTTTCTGTTCTTAATTCCACCGTACCTTGTAACCCCTTGTGTGATATTGCTTGTACTGCTTTGCTGGGGTGATACCAATTAAAAAAACAAAAAAAAAACAAAAACCCACAGAAATGCATTCTGAAACAAAACAGTAGCTGTGTTTTTAGCCAACAGTAGTCATGTTTACATGTTTGACAAGGTGATGACAGGTTTGTTGTTGTTCTAAAGAGACTTTATCTGTAAAACATAATTTTCAAAAAATGATGTGAGTGCCTTTTTCATATCATTTTTAAGTACTCAGTAATCTAAAAATGTTGGAAAATACTCTCCGTAATCTAATTTTAGGAATGTTGACTTTAAATTTACTATAGTCAGCGCTCTTATTTTCTGATAATGTCATGTATGGTCACCCATACTTTCAAAATGGGCACATTTATACAAATAAATAAAAAAAAATTCAAAATTCTTTTAAAAATCTTGGTGTTTGAACAATGTTAAGCTTTTCAATTACTAAATATGTTTTCAATTAATAGTAATATCACCCAACATGATCAAAGTAATGCAGAAATTTAAAAGATTTGAAATTTTATAAATTATTATAATTAAAATTTTTAAAAAATTAAAATTAAAAAAAAAATGAAAACAATTCTTGTAAAAATTCATCAAAAATTTTTTTTTCTTAAATCAATAGTGTCCTTAATATATCTTATTTATAAAAGCAATTAAAAGCTTTCCTAATTAAATAGTGTCATAATTTAATTTTATTGCATTTTTTATTTTATGATGTGAATATGGAACAATTGTTAATACTATATCATTTATATGAACAAGCCATATCAAAAGTGTCTAAGAGAAGACTTTGGACCTTGTCACTTTGTCAATTTTTATTAAATTTTAGAACTCAAAAATCCTCCTTTGTAAAATCATGTTGTAGTAAAACTTTTATTACAAAAATGTATCCTTTTACTTTTTTGCTAAATGTTATTTTGCTAAACACATCTTTAAAACAATTGCTTTTATTTTAAACGAAAGCAGAAATTAAGAAAACTTTTACTTACCAAGGAGTCTCTTTCTATATGCATCCACAAAATGGCAAGCCATTTCCCTTGCTTCATAAGATAGACAATGTCCTTTGGACAACAAATATTGACTCATAGGATAACCTATACTTTCTGGAAATTGTTCATTTTCCCTACTGTTGAGAGCAAAATAAAGGACATAAAAATTATATCAAAGTTTTAATAAACAGACTGTATGAGAAATAGGGTAATTTGGTTTTGTATGTCTTAATTATAAACTTCTAAAATATAAAAATTTATTGATTCTCTACTGCTATAAAGCTAAAAATATATATATACAACAGGGAAAAATATAGATACCACAAGTTAATAAAGGTCTCCTTAATTTTAGTATTTATTTATTAAATTTAACTAAGTCTGGCAAAAGGCCACGATAATAGACTGAAAAATTTCTCATTAAAATGATTTGTGACAAAAGCTTACTCTGCATCATCCCATGGTTGATGACTCCTATTATATTAGCCAATCAACCCAAATAAACATTTTAAATTGTAAATGAAACAGAGTTAATTGATTAATTTTAGTGAAATAATTCCAAAGTAATTATTTAATTCTTCTGGTCACTTTTGATCTCATTAAATAAATTATTTCAAATTGAGCTGGATGAAATGTTTTTTGATTAATTTTGGACATGTCAGTTACAATGGGTTGAATTGTAATTTATTTTTCTTCAGCCAATGACAATTTTCATTACAAGACATTTCTAGCTACTTGGGAGTTGTTGAAAATATCTCATGAGAAATTTCTTTATCCTTGCTCTTATTACACTGGTTGTGAATCATGTAGAGATTCATAAATACCAATGAATTCTGTAAAAGCAATGACTACCCTGAAATAACTGACAAGATATTTTGTTGATATAATACCACACTAAAATATCCTGGTCCTAAGTGTTTCAACAACTAATCCATTATGATTTTCTGGCACATCAACAACTACTGAGTAGTCTTTTTCTTTCTTTCCACAGAGAATAAATTCTGTATTTGATTCAACCAAATTAAAATGAAAATATTAAGTATTAAACAATTTGTTGTAAATAAAATAAATATCTTCAGTTGCCATCTAAACTGAGGGATGTATTTTCCCCTCCAAATAGAATTAAAAACCCACATCTAAAATGAAGAATAACTTACCTGATGCCAGTAAGTTTCATGTAGCAGCATCCTACAGATGCAATAGCAGCAATGTGTGGACTTTGGACAAACATTCGAAGAATGGTAGCAGTCAAATCACCACAGGCATGTAAACCACATAGTACCATTGTATCGTTGGGTTGCTTATCAGTACTAGTGTGTAGTATGCTTTCTTTTTGGCAAGTTTGGTCACAGTTAACACTGGAATGGGGTAGATTTGAACCCAAAACAGTTGAAGAACCATTCTTATTATAGTCACTTGTTTCAGAAAATGTTAATTTCTGAGTTGAGAGTTCTGTATTCTGTTCAATCTCATGAGAAGAGTCCTTGATTAAACAATTGCTTTCTGTTTGAGAATTGAAGAATTTTGTGCCTTCATCTGAAAAAGTAGATTCATTGGAAGAACACTCCATAAATGTGACTGCTGAAGGTAACTGGGATTTATTTGAAACTTCACTGGATTTGGTATTTTCCTTCAACAAAACTTGAAGAAACTCTCCTGGAGAAATAGTGTTACTAACTTGATAGACAATGTGACAAGGCAAAGATGAAGCATCAACAGGACAATTAGTTGCAGTAGTAATAATCTCCTTAGTTGGAGTTGAAGCAGTGTTAGTAACGATGCATGTATTTGTTGTTGCAGAGAGAGTGTTGGTGCTTGGATGGAAATTTTGAACGTCAGAAAATTCTGCAGACTGTACAATTTCAGACTGTGTGAGCTGAAAAAAATAAATGTATAATTTTCCTTTTTCATTTGCTACATCAAAAATATTTTTTAAGTTCTTAAATTTTTTTGTTATTTAAGAAATGTGGACAGGAGTCTTTATAGTGATCAGATGAAATAACATATTTAAATAATGATAAGGTGTAGGGGTAAATATTTAGAAGGAAGGGGGGGGGTCACAAAACAGGGGCCATAACTCGCATGCACAAAAATGAAAGTAATTTTGTTAATACACTCTTAGTGGCTAAAAGATATTGTGTGTGGTTGATTTTAAGTGACTACAATTACTTGAAGCAAAGTAGTTGACTGGTTCACATTTTGCAGTGAATTTCACTGAAAAAACAAAACAAAATGGTGATAAAATTGGAGGTCTGGACAAAATAGCAGAGATTGCTGAAACATTGATTGTAAAAAGAAAGTATAACCACAGACTAGTGGTTCATCAACAATGACTCTTTGGAGGAATTCAAAGAAATTCTGAAGAATTTAATTACTTTATAAAATTTGTTCCTGATAGATTGAGAAGCACTCTAGAAGCAGTCATACAAAGATATATTGAACAAGGTTCTACAATCATTGGTGGTGGCTGATTCACTTATAATGGGCTAAATAATCTGGTGTATAATCGCATAATACAAGTTATAATCATTCATGAAAATAATTTTCTTGATTTACATGAATCTTTATTTCATACTCAAGTAATAGAGAATATTTGGTTTCGCCTAAAATGTTTTCTCAGAGAAAAAGAAACTAACAAGTATCTGCATAAATGGGATTATATATCTGAATAATATATTTCGAAAAAATAAAAAAAGTATTTGAAAATATATTAAAAACAATAAATGATACATATAAATTTTAAGTCACAAATTATGGCTACTGTTTTATGACCCCAATACTGTGTCGGATTTTATTAATATTTAACTACTAGGAGAGTGAAAAACTTCATTTTATTTGAAACAAAGTATTATTATTTTGTAATACCTGAAATTGTGAAATTTTCAAGTGCAAAACTAATAATTACAGATGTGTACTCTATTTAATGATTTAAAACCAGAAGAGGTGTCACATCATATATTTAATAAAACTTATAAAGATAGGTTTTTAAAGTTTTTACATTTATGCAAATGCATGTGAAAAGAAATACATGGTGAAGATATGAATTTTATTTTGTAGTAGATTGACTACTACGCTTTACATGCTTTTAATTTGGATTATATTTTACATCTAGTTTGCAATCATGTGAAGAAACTTATATATTACAAATATTATGGATTTTAGAAGTACAATTCTAGCACAACTGAAAATATCTTCATCCTAATGTAAATCCCAAACTGATATATGATATTCACAGATTTTAAAGCTTGCTGTAGAAACAGATCATTACGTTTTTTAAAGTCAAGTATATATTATTAGAACACTGTGAGGTGTTTATAAGTTTTTTCATAATTCATATTGTACTAAGTATTAAAAATATTTCATTATAATATATTGCATTATAGATATTACATAAATATAAAATAAATCATATAAACCTATTAAAATATAATAAATGAAAATTATTAAAATATTAAATAAAATATTTCAGGATAATATATTATCATATTTAAATTTACACAGACGATTCATTAGTAAATGTAAAAACAGTGACCAAAAAACATTATTTGAGTAAAATAAAAAGTTAAATCCATTTCTTAAGTTGACATATGCTTAGTTCCCATTATAACACAATCACATACTAAACTTCTCCTGGTGCTGGGTGTCTCAGTCTACCAATCTCCCCTACTTGTGTTATATTTAAGTTTTTAATCTGAGGAAGTCTAAATTAAAGTTGGTTAAAATATCCTCAAGAATAAAGGGGACAAGTTATAAGTAAAATAAAGGAAGGAAGGAAGCACTTTTAGGATAGACAACAGATTCTTGCTTGTAGAAACAATAACATAGGCTTTATTTGTACAAGTTTATCCCTTCCCAATTTGATGATGCTGTGGTCTATGTCTGGTTGCAAAATTAGTAGGTTTTATTTGTTTTTTTTTTATGGCTTATCAACCTTTTACAGGTTATTTAAAGCCAGGAAGTATATTTAGATTCTAATAATTTTGGGGGGAGGTTATAATGGTTTACTGATACAAGTACTACTAATTAACCCATAGCTGGGGGTGGAGAAGATGTGGATTCATACCTTTCCCAAGGGTATTTACACATAAGTGAATATAATGAACCTGACTGATATTGGAACTCAGCTCTATAATTTTCAATTCCAAGCCATTATCCATTACACCACCTGCACATCCAAGCTTACAACACTTGTTATTCCTAAGCAGTTACTCATCTAGGTACTGACCAGGCTTGATGTTGCTTAATTTTGGTGATTGTACGGGAATCAGTGTTTCAACATATGGCTGTTAGCCACTGAGTTAGTAGGTGTCAGCATGATTCACAACATATTGCAAAAACAGCCGCAATGCTCAATGTACGAGAATGGTGATTGGTAGTCTGTTTGACAGTTCAATCAGGGAACTTTAATTTTGGTGCTTACAGAAAAAGTTGGTCTCCAAAACCTGGTCTTCAACACTTCCACTCAATTGCCAAGTGCAGGGCTGACTGAATGCAGAAGCACATGACCTCACACTGGCATCCAGTATTGTAGGCATGGTAATGAGAATGTTAAAAAGATGGATATATAAACAATTACTCTAGAGATGATTGGGTAATCATACTCAGACATTAAAGGAGAGTATAGTAGTCCATGTGTTAGATTGGGAGGGGGGTACAGCTGGGCTTGCATCTCACATTATCTGAGAGTAACTGACAAAATATTGGGATAACTGATATGTAATGAAGATTTAAGTCATGCATTATTATTTTAATCAGCACCCCCACTTCAATACACTAGTAAAATTTTAAATTACTAACTTGGCTAAGGCTTTTCAGATTGACCTATCAATTCCCATTCCAACCAGTCATCACATATAGATTCACTTACTTGTAAAATCCACCCCAGTAACTGTTTAAATCATTTAAATAAATTGCCTTTGTAAATAAACCAATGATGTGACAATGATGTTGTTGTGTGTAGCAGGATCCTTGCCTCATTCACTGCCTTATGTGAAGGGGTTATCAGAGAAAATACAAAGGATCTGCAGTCCATATAACATCAGGACAACCTTCAAAAGCTTGACGACACTTCTCAGATATCTCTCCCGAGTAAGACCCCCCCCATAGAGGAGAACATGACTAAAGACTGTGTGCACGCTATCCTGTGCAGCTGCGGAAAGGAATGTAAAGGAGAGACAAGCCGCCCCCTCAAGGTAAGGCTTCAAGAACACCAGAAAGCTGTAACATGAGGGGAAGTAGAAAAATCAGGTGTGGCTGACCACATATGGAGAGAGAAGGGATATCACCACCCTCTGTGGGATCATGTTGAGATCATAGACAAGGAACATCATTGTAAAATTCGTAAACTTAAGGAATCAGCACATATGCTAGGCCACAAAAATCTCCTGAACCAACCAAGCATAGAAATAAATACAATATGGGAACCAGTAATAAGGAGTGCCAGAAAAAAGCAATGACAACAAAAAGTTGCAATATGAGCTCTGATAAAAACATGCAATGATAACAGCAAAATTGCAATATGAACACTGGTAAAAATGGTTGATGAAGACATTAGGTTTATAATACCCAGAAATTCATAACAGATGTCCTCAAGGACACATGGATAAAGGCGTTGGTTAGATCCAGTGACAGAACCCAATGAGTGTGAGTTCAATACCTGGTTAAGGCAGTGGAGAACTTGGATAACTGATAACTGACATCCATCAAACATGGCATGTGGAACTAGAACAGTCTACCCCAGTGAGTGAAATAAAGGGTTCAGTTCGAAATTCCAACCACCTGAAGAAGGCCGGAGCGTACAACGTCCGAAATGTTGTGATAAATATGGCGACAAAGATGAAGACAATAGTCCAAATAATGTAAATAATGTACAGAATACCTCATCTCAGAAATATAGACAGATATTGCATGCAATCATTGTAGGAGAGTCCTTGAAAATGCAATACGTAGACAGTCCAAGTTAACGTAGAAACCAAAAAACTTAGACCATGCTAATTCTGGAATATCACAGCCTCAATTCCCAATAGAGGCAGAACATCAGTGCTCAGCATTATAAATTTAGGTTATTTCATCCTCATCATGTTAGATGACAATGGCCACTTTGTGATATTTCTGTCTCAGCTCGGAAGGTTTCTAAACTAATTAAAAGCTTAGACTCTATGAAAGCTACTGGTTTAGATAAAATCCCTCTCAAGGACTTTAGCTCAGAACTGTCTCCAATATTGACAAAGTTGTTTAACCACTGCCTGAAGAAGAAATATTTCCCAGGCCCACAGAAGGAGTCTTGTGTATACCCTGTGTACAAGAATGCAGGTGAATCCTCATCCCCATCACACTCCTTAGTGTCATTAGTATACATTTTGATGCTGTCATCAACAAGAAAGTTGTTGATCACCTCAATAAAAACAACTTCCTAAGTGACAAACAGTATGGTTTTTGCTGCTCTAAATCCACTGCTGACTCATAACAATCATTATGAGTAGAATCAGTGAAGTGCTTGATAATAAACACATCTTGAGAAAGAACACTTTAGATAACTCAAAGGCCTTTGACAAAGTGTAGCATAGGGGATGGCTACACAAAATCCCCAGCTATGAAATCTCTGGGAAGGTCTTCTCAGTTATGAAGACATTCCTGTCTGGGAGATCTTTGAAGTTCGTTTTTAATGGTCAGTCCTCTAAGGCACTTGAGATCAATACTGGTGTTCTCCAAGGTTCTCTCCTTGGTCCTATCCTCTTCTTGTTTTATATTAACGATTTACCTGAGACCATTCTCAGATCTGTAGTAAATATATATGCAAATGATACCATGGTGTATGGGTGCACCTCCAAATATTTGGATGATCACTGTCTGGCAGCTGATCTCTCTTCTGATCTAACACTCACAGCTCAACTTGGGAAAGACTCTGTATCATTCAATACTGCCAAAAACAAAGTTAGTAATGCTTTATCACCACTGAGCAGACCCCAAATTTGCTCCAATCCTGATGAGTGGTAATACCCTCAATGAAGTTCCTTGCCTTGAATGCCTATTGGATCTAAAACTGGAATTTGTATATTTGCATCATTGCTTGAGATGCTAGAAGATTGGTTGGTACTTTGTATTGCTCCTGAAAACACCTGACTTCTGCTATCTTTACAAGTGGCAGATCAGACTAAGAACAGAGCATTGCTGTTCAGTCCTTGCTGTTCAGCATTGACAGTGATGAAACGTTGCTAGCCTCTACCGTTTTTATGATGACAAATGTTCTAACGAGTTACATTCCTTAGTCCCACCAGCTCAACCCTTCACAGCAAGGACCTGATTACAGTGGAAAATCATCCCCACACCTTTCGTGCTCCTTTGCTAATGAGTAAGTTCCACTCAGCTTCTTCCCAAGAACTGTTACACTGTGGAACAGATTCTCAAGAAGATGCTTTCCTAACCACTATAATCTTCATATCTAGAGTCAACCATTACTTAGCCTACATATCCTCATAATACTTTCTCCTTTACAACAACCTCATTCAGTAACCCTCTACCTTGGGTGGCTTTTGTGCCTTGTATTACTAAAGTAAAAAAAATACATGATAATGTGATAAATGACTTAGATAATTTTAATAACAGCAGATTTTAAAATTTTTATTTAGAAACAAACCTGTGATGACTCCATCTTCTTTTTCTTTTTCTTTATTTCGTTTTTCAAATCTCTGAAAACAGAAAGTAATGATTATATTATAGGATAGGTGGATGAGTGGGGGGGTGCTGAAAATTTTTTACGTTTTGACTGCCACTTGTCCAGATATAAGTTACATCGTAACAAAATTGTTACAATATTCCACAAATCCAACCATGGAAGATTTGATAAGAGTCAAACAAGCCTTACACTATTTGAAAAGCACAAAAACACACTATGTTGTGTTTGATAAATTGAATAAGTCCCTAACTTTAAGGGGTTTTTGTGATACTGTTTGGGGAAATTCAAAAGACCACTGTTGTATTACAGGATATGATTTCCAATTATCACAGAAATGTTCAATAATTTTGTGGAAAACAAGAAAGCGACCTACAGATGTATTGTGGACATGTAAAAGTGAATATATGGCATTGGCATGTGCAATACAAGCAAAATACCATATTCAATTATTAGCCACCATGATTAATGCAACTAAAAAAGAGCAAGCCACTATCCATTGCTATAATCAAGGTACCCTAGCTCTTGCTAAGAACCCAGTCTACCATCAATGTTCAAAACACATAGGCATAAAGTACCAATTCATAAGGACTGAAATTCAAAATGATATGATAAAACTGGACTATATTCCAGTAGAAGAAAATGCTGCCAATTTGTTTACTAAACCTATTGGCAGAACAAAATTAAATAAATTCTTTACTGCTCTAAATAGCGTGCTATATTGAGCATATTTTTTTTTAATTGCCACATGTTTGCTTTTTCTTATTACACCACTTTGTACATGAAAAAAATAATAATATAAAAAAAGATATAAAATATTTAAAAAAAACAAAAAAGGAAAAAAAAATGAAATATTAAAAGTTGAAAATAATTAAAAAAAAATGAATTGAAATGATAAATTTTTTTTTCTATATGCAAATTATATATGTATGTAAATGTTTATATGTATCTTGTTTATATTTATTAGTTCCATAAAAAGTGGGGATTTAGGGGAGGTAAATATGAGTGTACTAATCCATCAGATTGTGGGGGGATGATTTCAATCCATCTAAGAATGGCTGCAGAACACTTGCCCCTCCCCTTTTATAGGCAAAAGCTCACAAATGCATGCTGGGATTTTTTTTTTCTTAGATTATAAAATAGGCCAGTTTACAGTTCTGATCTGCTTTGTTTAGAAGCCATAACAGTGCTTTTATGTATCGATACCAATTCTTAGTTTGTAAACTTTTTGCGTTCTTACTGTTTACTTGCTTGATATTATTTCATTTTTGCCCTGTTCCTTTTTCTTTTTATTGTAAACTGTTTTTGGATAGTTTCATTCTTTATTTTGCATTTGACCATGGCTACTCATTCCACAACATGTCATAAAGAAAATAGGAAATGTATTCAACAAAAGAAAAGAACATGAACAGATTTGAAGCCAATAGCAATGTCAACTTATCTACAACCACATTGATAATGCAGTTGAAGATTCACTGATATATATATGTGTGTGTGTGACTGATTAAGCTTTTGATTATATTTTTTTTGCATCTGTACAAATGATTTTTCTGAACAGTGTGTAAGAACACAGATCATTTTGACAGTTCTTACACATTATGTCCAGAAAAGAAATGAATGCAACAAAAATATATTAAAGTTTAATTGCAGTGCCTTGCCACTCATCTTCAATAAAACTTGTATAAATGAGGGATTGCTATTAAAATACAGAATATATATATATATATATATATATATATATATATACACAGATACACATGCTCATACATTTTTTTCTGTGTGTGTGTGCACATATAGTATTATGTTCTTACACAATCAAACCCCCTAACCCTCCAAACACTTTACACTTATAGTGAACCATCTCTCTTTCTCAATCTCTCTAATCGTGTTATTTGCTCACTCTCTATCAACTTGTTGAAGACAGCAGTCAGACGAACAATTGGGCAAACTACTGACCTGAGAAACAGAATCAGCTGAGATCTAAAAGTAGCATCCTCCACAAGTGCAGAATCATGTCATCTAATATGAGAGCTTGTGTGGGAAAAATATCGGAAAAGTTAGTTGGATAGAGAGAGGCTTGAGCGATCAACATTTTCTCTTGTTATCATTGACCAAAGGGGATTGCATAATGAAGTCTAGTCCTAAGTCATACTATACCACATATGGACATTTTGAGTGGCCAAATAGTCCTAAATCAAATGCATTGGTCAATTACTCAACATGTTAATCACCGAAGACAAGAGTATATGTGACTCATCCAAATACTGAAGTGAAGAAAGCAATGACTGACACCTAACTGAAAGAGGAATTTTATATTGCTGAAGATGTGAAAAAACGAGCATCACTTGGGGTCAAAACTTGCAACAGTGAAGAAAGAGAAAAAGAATATAAAAGATATTCCTGCACGTGCAAATATGAGAACAAAGGACTGAACTGAAAGCGAAAAAAAAAATAAAAAAATAAAGAAGAGAAACATAAGAAAAAAAGAGAAGAAAAGGAAAAAGAGAAAACTTGTTTTATTTCAAATGAGGGACAAAAGCTAAGTGTTTCTTTGGATTTTCACATCACATAAAATCCGCGCATCTTTCCAAGCAGACATATTTCCCCATGTTGTTTTGTTATATAATTAAATTTTATTCCAGTGTTTGTCATTTGTTACTATTGGTTATCTCTCCTTATCTGGGTATTTGACCCTGTGTGAGAACCTATGACTAATGGAGTGGAAACCTTGCCTATATCATTTGGCAACAAGTGTTTTTTTTACCATTTCTTCTTTTTATATTTTGTGTTGAGGCAAATAGTTCATAACAATTGTAATCCAAACAACAAAAGTATTATATGTACTACTACAAAGTATAAAGAAAAAAAATATGAAGTTGAGTAAAAATTGGATAATAAAGAATGTAGATATAGGACTAAATTTCAATGATGTCTGTCAGCAATGGTAGCCTAATCAGTAAAGCATAGTTCCAGTCAGATAGGCTCTAGAATGTCAACAATATCACAATAAATACATCTTCTCTTTCCCTACATTTTTGTGAAAAGTAAATTAATAAATCATTTTTGAAAAAAAAAAATTTATTATTACATCATAAAGAATGTGTTGGTTACAAACTGACAGGAATGACTGCTAAAAACCTCCCCTCCCAAAAACTTATAGAGAAATCCTATAGATGCATGCTGGGATTTCTTCCTAACCAATAAAAAATATACAATTCTTGGTCTTATCCCCATGTTTTTGTTCTTTTCTTGCCTTGACATCAGAACATTGTAACCACTTGACTGTATCCCATCTGTGTATGAACAGTTTCCTTTTTTTTACTGTCTTATAATTGCTTTACTTTACTATTGTCTTATAGTTGCCTTTCCTTGTATTACATTTTTCATTTCTTGTACTATTTTGATCCATTCTTCTTATTTTTATTATTGTGGTTATTTGGAATTTTATCAGTTTCACTTAAAAATGCCCGCTTAGTCAACAAAATGCAATTATCATTTTCAGACATGAAAATGAATGTAAAATAACTGCAATGACACTGGTAATAGTAATTCTGAAATACTTTATTCTCATACCAACAAGATACAAATACAAAAAAAAAAACTTGGCCCCTGGCCACTCAGTTGTTTATATAACACTGGAAGAGGTAATATGTTCTCTAGTGTCTGCCAGTGGAAGTCCTCCATTATCTAATGAGACCTTCCATTTCTACTCTACATGCCCCGCTCTCTCCTCTGACCACAGGATGGATTGACATTGTCAGCTGAATGTCTGCCCCAGAATATGTGTGTGAGTGTCTTCGTATTTATGGGGATAGAGTTTGAGGTGCTTGTGTGTTTCAACGTGGGTGTTGACTTGGGGCTGGTGTCACCTGATATTGTTGTTCTCTCAATATTATTTTGTATTGGGCTGACTGAATCTGCAGTGTTGTCAATTTCCTTTTGTTCTGGTTCATTACTCACGATATTTGGTTTATGTTGTACGCTGGAATAAGGGAAATCCTTAAATTTGTGTCAATCATTATAGAGGATTCAATGGGTCACTGGCAGGACCCCAGGACATAGGGAAGTATCCCATGGTTCAGGTTAATCTATTTTCCGTGTTGCTATATTGAACTGGCTGTAAATAAGGTGCTATGAGGTAAAGGGACCCACACCCTGGGTAGAATGTGGGATGTCAATAACTGGGTGGATCTTATTAAAGAAATGTTGGTTGTGTAGAGTTACATGATTGCTTCCATCCACCCACACATGCTACTGCTGGTTACCATATCTCTGCAATCCTCCCTGTTTTCATTCAACGATGAGGGTAAGGGCCATCTTAATTCTACATTTGCACAGAATCGGCAATTTGTAAATCCCAAAGTGGGTAACAATGTTTATTGTAAAAATGCTCATTCGACATGTGTTGCCCCTCTCAGTTCACCAATTTCTCTCCACTAACATAATAGCAGGAGACATGCTAAGAACCTGGATGTGAGTGTTGCATTAGTTCAGGAAAGCATGGGCTCCATGAACTTGATACAGCTAACCTCAGCTGTCTGTCAGTATACGCTTAGCCGTTTTGATGGACAGTTCTGCTCAGCCATTGTTTTGTGGGCAGTAAGCTGATGAAGTATGTTTCTGTATTCCTCAATTTAAGGTTGTATTCTTGAGAATCAAAAGGTGGTGCCCCATTGGAAGGAAGTTCTTCAGGTGCACCATATTTGCAAAAGCAAATTCTCAGAGTGTTGCATACTGCTCTGGCCTTCCTAGTTGACATTAGGACCACTTCCACCCAACCAGTGTACTGATCTACTTATATAACATAATGTAGGTCAAAAAAGTTAACTGCGTTTTGTTGGAATATGAATTCAAGATGAGATGGTGACATCAAGGGGCTCCTTAGGCTGTGATGGGATAATAGAATTACATATCTCTGGCATTGGGCTCTGATTTGGGGTTTTGTTGAATTGCATTTCACTCATGGCCAAATATTTGTTTGTAAGATGAGGTTGATGGGCTTATGGGATAACACAGTTATCCCATCTACAACATTCTACGTGCGCGCAAGTTTCCTCCTTTTCTCCCACACTCGTGTGTGCGCGTGCATTCACGGTTTGCACCATTCTTTTGTTGTTGACTTCAAGCTACCTGCTGCTCCTGATGTTATGCAAACTAGAATTTGAAATCTTCCCGCGAAATTTCTTTGACGTCACGAACAAACTGGTTTTTCGAAGTTAGTCATGGTCCAGACACTGAACCAAGCAGTTTGACTCATTTATCCCTCATCAGTCAACTATAGTACAGACAGGGATATCTTATTGACGAATAAATATTCTTCGTTTCCTTTCGGCTCGCCACCAGCGATTTCATCAAGACGATGCAACTATCGGCCACCCTTTTCCTCGACCTAAGACTAACTCCTTAGAAGAACTTCCTCCTGTTTTCAATCAGGAAACTTAGTACGTACGTCTTTGTCATCACAACACACTTTGGATGGCTAGAATTTTCTTGTCGAGTGACTAACGTCTTGTCCGAACCTGCCTTTGTCATTAACAAGGGAACAGAACTTTTCATATTCGTTGAACTCTAATTTGCTTTGAACCAGTACCTTAAAAATATACATAACATTACACTCACACTAACAAAAACTCGCAGTGAGTATTTTTCTTTGTTGTATGTATAATATTCCATGTAAATTGACTTTTCTGGAACCTTCTTCCTCAAGAACTTTTCCCGCCTTAGCCATCTTGCTTTCTGGTTTTGGTGTGGAACATTTTCCTTGATCTTGTACCACGAGATAAGCTACTTGTTTTTCCATTTAATAAAAAAAAATTTACACTTGTTTTGAATCCAGTCGTTTTCTGTCATTCTGTGCAGGCTATCTTCTTAATATTTTTAATATATGCACGTGTGGACTAACCACATTCCTCTCGCTGTTCATTCACGCATGCATTTCTTTTTATACTTTGCTTGTGGACTCGATAGTTTAGTGTGGTGTCTGGCACAAAGCCACTTTGTAATAAACCAGCACTGCACCCTACCGGGTCTGCAACAGGCTAACATCATTTAGTAATTGTGCAGCTGACTTGTTTGTTGTTTCCAAGCTGACAAGGTTGACAAGTCGTATGAGTAGCTGAATTGCTTACCGCAGTCTTCAGTGCTAAGACAATCAACTGTGAATGAGCAAAATTTGGCTTGAGCTTATAGCCTTGTTAAAAAATGAGTCATTGACTTACCTTTTGTCTGAAATGTGGAATGAAAGGTCTGCTGGTGAACTTTCTTGTGCATGTCTTTTATTGCAACAAATTGGATCTGTGACAAAAGCCTTTCCTCCATAGCTGAATTTAAGGTTTCAGCTCCTATAAAGTCGAAAGTGAGCATACATTGTGTATTTTGACAGGTCTGATAAGTTTACACATCTGCTTATACCAAGTCCTAGTGTCAAGGAATAATACCCAGTCATTGTCCACTGCGTTAGGTTCAATGACATGATGGTCAGTTTTTTTTTGTGTTGGATGTTTGTGTTGCATTATGGGTTCTGTCCTGCCGAAGAGCAATAGTTTCCCTTTGTAGCTCTATCATTTTCTGCATGAGTTAAGCAATTAAATCAAGGATTACGCCTGATACAGATGCCATGTTTTATTTTAAGATAGTTCTGCATATTCACTAGATCCTGTTCACAGCGCCATGCAAAATAATCAAAATAACAATGGTAGTAGTAATTCTGAATTATTTTATTTTTGTACCATGAGATACAAAAAAGAAAAAAAAATACACTTGGCCCCTGGCCACTCATTTGTTTATATAACACTGGAGAAGATAACTTATGTCTTCCAGTGCCTAATGAGACCTTCCATTTCTACTAAGAAATATCAACAAAGACAAAATACAATCTTTTTGTCATAAAGGCACAAATCTAATTGCCCCCATGTACTTTGTCACATTGTCTTTCATATTGATGACGACTTACATGAGTTCATTGGCAATTTTTTAACTTGAAATATGAAAAAATTAAACTAGTAATAATTGAATACAAAATCAAGTTTCTTTCAGATGTGAAAATATATGCAAATGTTATAAATGTCTACTTACAAATCATACTTTTGTGCTTTTGGGGCATGACCACTGGAAGCCTCTACTGTTGTGACGGCCAGTCCATACTTAAAATTTAGGAGCCGAGACAAATGACCAAGACCAGCACCGATATCCACAATTCTATCACAGCCAATTGTTTGGCACAGCTGACCAATGACCTTATTGGAGAGAAAACAAATGATTTATTATTATTGGTATTTATTTAAAACAAGATGTTTCCAGTGGTAGAAGAAAGGACAGAAATGTGAGAAGATTAATTAGAAGGGAGAAAACTAAGTCAACATACAACAGTTTAATGATACATATGTTGTATAAGCATTTACAGAGTTTAGGTTTGTATAGTATAAAGCCATAAATATAGAGACATACCCTGAATGAATAGAATGAGATACAGTAACAATGGTGCATAAGTGTCATATTCTACAAGCCTTCATTCCTCAATATGTGTCCCCAAAAACATTCAACTCTTTTTGATTCTAGATACAAGTTTCCTTTTTGTTCCCAACAGGAAATAATAAGGAGGCAGAAGGAAAAACCGAGTAACCTTGTGTAAATGAATCACAAAAGAGAGACTGGGAAAAATAGTGAGGGATACAGTACATAAAGGAAGGGGGGGGATCCTACCAATCACTAATCAATGGCAAAACCCCAACTCATGTAGTAGAAATATCTAAGCAAATGATAGTCACATAAATGAAAGTGATAAAATGAATAAAACCTGGGCTTACAAGACAAAAATAAAAGAAAACTGATATTTTGTAAGGTTGCCTCTCTGTGCCTTTTCTATAAATACTTCATGATAATTGTTTGGATGAGCTCTTCACTATGGTATGTAGACTTTTTGAATTTAAGCGCAGTACTAGGCTGAGTGCAAGATCTCATCAATTTACAGTTGAGCTGGCTAGATGTATCCGTAAGTTCTATGTTAACAGTTTCTTTTCTCCCACTTCTCACTTGTGGAACTCCCTTTCGGCTCCAAGCTTTCCAGCCAACTTTAATCTACAAAAATTTAAATGCAATGTCAATCACTATCTACTGTCCTCCTGATTATTCTTATCTCTTCTCGCTCATTATTAATGTTTTTGTTCCTAATTCTTCCCCAACCAGTAACTCCTTGTGTCTTAATGGCTTTACTGCCTTGCATGGGGGTGATACCGATTACCCCACCAAAAAAATAAAAAAAGACAAAACCTTGTCCAACAGAATATTTTAAAACATAGAATGAAAATAAATCATGAGCAGCTAAAATGCTTTCCTTTTCAAGTTGGAAAAGAATAGAATCAGACAATCAAAGTCAGAAAAATGTGATGGTCTACAAGAAAGGGATTTATTATTAAATTTCCAAGGTTATAAAATGCACTTCTGCTTTAAAAGAGCATTGCACGGATGAGTGTTCATTGCACTTCTCACAGATTCTCTCACTATGGAGTTTATACTTTTAGTTGGAGAACTGAAGGAAAAAGCAAATAAAGAAAAAAAATTGACTTACTGCTGGCACAATGACTTTGCACAAAAATCTACAGAAACCAAAAAAAAAAAGCAAAGAAAAAATGGTGGCTAATAAGGCAAATATTTAAGAATGTTACGTTCTTGCAAATACAAGATTTTGCTGGTATCATGAAAATTTCCAACCGTTGAAAAGAATATAAAAATCACATTACTGATGCAGGAAGGGAGTAATTGTTTTAGATCCTACAATCATTGCATAATTAAGTGTAAGTTTTCTGCTGCGGACAAATTGTAAGAGCATGAGAGATAGAGAAGAGAACAAGAGGAAAGAAGACGTTTATTGTTGCCAAATTGAACATCAAAGAACTGATAAAAAAGACAATGAAATTGATTCTCTCACAAGCGAACTCAACCTACAAGTTCCTTGGCCTTATATAATACTAGCACATTAGAGACAATGTAATATTTTAAAAAGGGGTACAATATTTAACAACTGCATTAAAAATAGACATATTAAAATCAATCAACAGGAAAGAATAACAAAAAAGTTTAGTTACCATAAGAAGATAAAAAAAACAAAAAAAAAGGATGAGAAGAGGGAAAAAACCCCAAAAGTCAACAGTTTAACCTGTTTTCATTTCTCTCTTGTCATAACTCTATTGAGGAACAAAAAATTTGCACAGCAAATAAAATAGAAAATATCCAAGACAGGACACAATATATATTAAATAGTTAATTATCAAAGACTTATAACATTCAGATCTAGATGCCACTTCTGTTCACAAAGGGAGTGCTGGAAGGACAATATATATATAGTATCTAACATTTAAATGGAATGAACTTTACTCAGTACTATATCTTGATTATAAAACTAGGCATACTGATGGTTATTTAACAAATGCTCAGCTATTACAGACCCAAATATATTGATGCACCTATGTTGGTGGGTTTGTAGATTTTGTTTAGCTGCATATCAACCTCTGTAGGTTATTTAATGTCAAAATCTATATATTTTATATATAATTTTATGCTTTCAACTACAGATATTTTGCACATAATTTTATACTATTAGAGTAAAGTTATGTCTTTTAGATATATATTTTGTCAATCATAAAATATATTGCTGGTAATTTTACTATAAAAATGTATTTTTTTAGTGTTACATTCATTGTTATTTTGCTATAAAAATGTATTGTTACTCATTTAATTATAAAAATATACTGTTAATTTTTTCTTGGGAGTTTACTATTTGCTCATAGTTGGGACCCTAACAGGTGCTACCACCCCTGGATCAGGGGTTACCTGGGAACAACAGCAGTTAAAACAAGGTTCCACGTTCCTCAAAACCTCCAATCTCCCAATAAGAGGCCTTGCTGCTGGATGTAGTTTATCCTCATACCCAGGATGAGATGCACCTATGTAAATTATCTAAATTTTCTTTCCAAATATTGGCTGGTATATGTTGATTAATCCTTAATTCTAAACTTTGACCCAGTCTACCTATATAGTAAATGTCACACTGACATTTTAAATGGTAAATTATAGAACTAATACGATAAGAAGAAAGAACATCTTTTTTGATTGATATCAACATTGGTAGAACAGTAAAGTCAGTATGTAGATTGGTAGACAAATAACTATTTTTCACATTAAATTTACTTAAACTTCTTACTAACATCACCATTCCACAGTAGAATATTTGGATACCTTTTTTTACAATTTTATAAATTGAAATATGGTGATTAGATTTTTGAACAGAGTCTTTCATGAAAGATGAGAGAGAATAAATAAAGTAAGAGAAAAATTATGGTAGGTGCATGAAATCAATGATGTATGAATGAGATTGATGTATAAGTGAATGTATTTAATACTAAAATATGAATATTTATACCTATGTTGTTATTAACATTCTTCCAAAATATAGTGACTCTAGTGTCATAGATTAAATTAAAATCCATTAATCTTATCACTCTGTGACTTCATTAGCTGTACAAAAAGTTTTTCCTGCCACTGAAGCTGAGTTGTGTTGTTATATTCTGCTATGGAAACAAAACAATTTGGGGTGAAATTAACAATAAGGATACTGCAATTGAGAGGCCTTGAAAAAGAATGCAGTGGAAAGGGAAGTAATATTAAGAATGCAAAGTGCTAAAGGTTAAGAATTCTCATTGGGATAGAATAATCCTACGTCAATTAATGACAATTTCTACAAGGACCAAATATACATGCCAAGTAATGTGTTACTTTATGTTGCCTTTTGCAGTCATAACATTATCAAAAACTTAAAGAGTGAAATAAAGAACAATAGTCAGATAGAAAGGAATAAATATTTTACACAAAGCATCTTGTCTTTTGTAATGTATTTAAAAATTGTTTCATTATGGTTATATTAACTAATAATTAGATAAGCTATTATATATATATATATATATATATATATAAATAAAACGTTTGTGGAATCAACTGAGAACTTGCCAAACACCTAACACCATAATCAAGAGAAAATCTTGAACAAGGATAGAAAAAAGAAAAAGACCTAAAGGTAAACACCTGTTCTACTCAGTAAAGTGCTCAATGCCTAGATTACTTAGACAGAGCAAAAAATGCTTCACAATGTTAACTACTAGCAAGCCATAACTTGAGTTTCATGCTCACTTAACCTTCAGATGACTTGAAAGCAAATGAGAGAGGTTGGTGTCAGCTTTATATAATTCATGACCATAACCCATACCATAAAGCATCATGGGAAAAAAATAAAACAAAATAATTTTATTTAAAAAGCCAGTGGCTCAACTCACCATACTAACTCGTAATGGCTATGCTATAGGAAGGGGCTCAGAAAAAAAAAAAAAAAAAACTCACAAAAAAACTCAAGTCAGGTGGCAAGAGAAACAATAGATATTTTGTAAAGACAAAAGGAAAACTTCTTAGCTGATGTGTTTTGTCCTCTGATGGACTTTATCAAGGCAAATGTAAGGATTTTATTTTGCAACAAGTATTTCTATACAGAAATAAAAATGCTAGTTAAGAATGGTCATAAATATACTTCAGGCTAACTGAAAATCAATTGAATGTTTTTATTTTATTTTAATGTAATTATTATTTATATTACTTTAGTTTGTAAAATTAATTTATGTATTATATATTTTAAATAATAGAAAGTTTTGAATTTAATTGGGTTTTTTTTAATTTTAAAAAATCTTTATAGTCATGTATGTTTGCTTGGGAAAGAAATATATCTTTTAAGAAAGGAGATATTTGAAAAAGATCTGGGGCACAGATTTATATTTTGGTAAGATTTGATAGTGGCTCTCTCACGGATTTTCTAAGTAAATTACTTTCTCTTTTAACAAGTGTGGCATTCTATAGATTGAATTAATGGTTGAACTTAATTTTATGTTTGACTGATACATCTGACAGATATATTGGTCTTGTTAAAATCCCTCAAAGGATGAAACACGTCTGCTAAGAAAAGTTTTCCTTTTGTTTTTGGCTCTCCAATTCTTCAATCCAAGCCATTATCCACTATTCCATTGTGTGATAGCTGATCTGATAAATTGTTTTTTTTTTTATTTTCTCATATTGGTATTATCAAAATTAGCTTAAATTTAAGTTGGTATCTCAATCTTGAGAATATCTTCCATACTGAAATCAGTCCCTTGTTAACTTGTAAAATCTCTAATCTTTTGAGCAATGGATAGTGAAGCTAGTCCATCCAACGGTTATGACTGTGAAATGAATCTTCACCTTGGCCTTGTACCAGGCTAAGCTGAATAAAAGAAATACACAGACAATATAATAAATTGACTTACTTTGGACATCTGATCTATTTCATGTTGTTTTTTTGGTTTGACATGTTTCCTATAATGTGGGTCAAGGGAGATATACTGACCTCCTTTAAACTCAATATTCTCTTTTTTTGTTGAATTCAGGTTGCTACAGTTCTCCCAATGATTGAACTCTTCATTTTTGGCTAACAAATATTGCTGAATTTCCCTGTCCCACCCTTGTCACTAAAAGCTTCTAATAATTTGTTCAGTGGGTGTGAAAAATTAATTTACCTCTGGAATCTATGCTGGGCAATTTCAGAGCTTAAACAATCAGAATTCCTAGAGACAAACCAAAATGTACCATAATTGTTTTAATAGCTGCTGTTTGTCATTTTGATTATTAACACGCTCTAGAAACTATAAAAAAAAAAAACATTTCTGATGGTCGGTCTATTATGTTTCTATTTCTTTCTTCAAGTTAGTATTGCATGAAAAGAATAGAATATTTTTGCCAGACTTGAGAAATGTTCAGCAGCTGCACTGGACTTGAGAAAATTTCACTTAGACTTTAGATTTCAAATTATTTGAACTCTCTGACTTACCAATCATGCAATCAACAGCATATATTCAGACAATGGCAAACAACAAGAAGCTTGATCTCAGATTAATCTCTGAATATGAGAGCTCATCAGCCATAATCTGTAACGGAGTTGGTGTGCAATCTGTGCAGAGTGAAATGGATCAAATAGGTTCTGCAACAGCATTTGATGTCTGAGCAGGAAACAGAGAGAATAGATATTGCATCTATAAAATGTACGTCTTGGGCGGAGTATTTGTAAAAATCATTGGCAGCATATGATTAGATTCTTTGGCTTGGTAAATGGTAAATGTCAGGAATCATAAATGATGCCTTTAATGGAAGGAGTTGATTACAAAGAACTTTTTCCTACATTCTTTATTTTATTAAATTTTTGAGGTGAAATAGAAATTTGTGATATCCAAATCCAAAGCCTACTCACTCCTGTTGGAGAAGCCTCTTCCTGATTGACTATGTCTTCAGGGGTGGGCTAGGGTCTTCTCAATTCTGTTGGAGGAACACCTCCTTGAATGACCATGTCTTCAAGGGTGTAGCCATACTTACCAGGCTTGGCCAATTGTGGGTTGGCAAGGCTATTTAACCCATATTTGTGGTGGGTGGCTGTTGTCCGCCTTTTAACAGCTCTTCAGTTTTGTGCTATTGGTGTTCCATTTGCTCTCTTTACTGGACCAGTGCTTGGTGGAGGAGAGTGGATTTAGTTGCCAACTACTCATTTTTTTTTTTTTAGATCACTTTGCCCAAAGCAAGGTGATAATGCCTCTAAGATGCAAAAGGCTACTGGGAGTGAAAAAAGAATGAAAAAAACTTTAGAAGGGACTGGAAACCTAATACTAAACAGGAAACAAAGGATAAACCTGTTCCTAGACTGGTCCTGTTATTTACCCATAGCTGGAGGAAGACATGGATTCATACCTTTCCCAAGAGAATTTGCATGTAAGTGAATGTAATGAACTCAACTGGAATTCAAACTTGGCTCTCCAATTCCTCAATTCAAACCATTATCCATTACTCCACCATGTGATCGCTGATCTGATAAATTGTTTATTTTTATTTTCTCATATTGATATTATCAAAATTGGCTTAAATGTAAGTTGGTATCTCAATCCTGAGAATGTCTTCCATAATGAAATATCAGTCTTTTGTGAACTTGTAAAATCTCTAATTTTTTGAGCAATGGATAGTGAAGCTAGCCCATCCAACGGTTATGACTGTGAATTGAATCCTCACTTTTGCCTTGTACCAGGCTAAGCTAAATAAAAAAAATAAAAAAAATCCATAGAAGATATAATAAATTGACTTACTTTGGACATCTGATCTATTTCATGTTGTTTTTTTGGTTTGACATGTTTCCTATAATGTGGGTCAAGAGAGATATACTGACCTCCTTTAAACTCAATATTCTCTACTTTTATTGGGTCAGAGGTGACATATGACATAGTAACCAGTTGTGAACTAGTTCCAGACACTAGAGTAGAGAGCAGGTTTGTTAGTTCTTCATCACTGGCCTTGGTCCTCTTCAAAGATAGACTCTGGATGGTTTGACGATAAGCTAGCATCGATAGTGGTAGAACCAGTCTGAAGGTGAGAGAAAAAGACAACATAAAACCTGGGTTTGAACTCAACAAATTTATTTTGGCTTTATGTATATTACACAAGCCATTTAATATTTACCATGAACATTCATCAGCAAGATTTACAACAGAAATCAAACAAGATATAAAAACTGGTTTACTATAATCAGTTTAAGATTTTCATTTTTGATGAATTTTAAAGATTACTAGAATTTTTTTGAGATCCTCACAGTATTTAGCATTGTTTAATATTGCTGACATTTTTTGTCAATATTTACAAACTCTACATTTCGCAAACAAATTGATGTAATTCGAATAAGTTGATTTGTTTGGAAAAATACTTTGATAAAAACCCTACTTCATAGTTTAATAAATTTTTTAATTTAATTTTATAGGATTTCATGGTAAACAATATTTTTTAAGAAAATTTATTTTTTTCCTTTTCCTTTTTAACAACAAAGAATAAATTCTTAGGATTTCTTACTCTTGACCATGCAGCATAAAACTAGTCATGTGTAAATATTTTTTCTGGAGCTAAATTCCAACTTTTTGAAGTGTTTCCCCCTTGTGATTTGTTTATAGTTCTCGCAAATGCAGGGCAAACTGGAAACTAGATTCAAAAAACAATATTGCATTTTTATTAAATAAGTATTTATTTTAATCATTAAATTGTTTTTAAAATAGTGGGAGTATTTTGTATGTTAAATAATAAAATTTAATTTTTCCAAAAAAATACTTAGTAAAACTCAATTGTACTTTGTACCCATTTGCCTGTTTGAAATTCTCCCCAAAATTTGGTTTTGAGCAGTCAGTGTATGGTTATTTTAGAGGGTGTGATGGGCGGATGGAAGTCACAGAATTTTATATATAGATTGGTCTTCGGTATGCTTAGTGGTAGTTCTGCTTGCCTGCCTCATGATCACTTGCATTGCATGTTGTAGAGTATCCACTTCTTATTGTTTATTATATTTTCTTTCAATGGCAGAACAATTTCATTTAAGTAGCAAATAACATACCCAAAGGTGGAGTAAGAGGCTTGGCAAAAGGAGAAATGTTTCTAAGGGTTACAAGGGATAAGGGTTTGTGAAGTGCCATGATCGACTGGATCCTGAAGGAACATGGGACATTGAAGTGACTATTAAATGCTCTCATGTTAGTTGACTATTTCTATAAATGACCCAATCTCTAGCCCAGCCATCAGGTCCATCCAATGTAGCTCTTCATTCATCACTAAAAATTACTATTGAGAAATCAGTTTTCATTTACTTCTTTACCCAAATACGTATTTCTCTTTGTAATGTTGTAACCTAGAGAAGGTTACTGAATAGAATAATCACATGAAGGTTGGTAATGAATGATAATACTTAGGACAAGAACAACACATATAAGATTTGCCAGTGGCACGCAGGAGAAGTAGTCAACTGCTAGAAGTGAGTCAAGTGAATTCCACAATGAATCTCCAGCTGCAAACCAACATACAGTATTTTCTACTGTATTTATGTGAATGGGGACATACCATTATTGTCTGTAGGTAAAGTTAGTTATTTGCATGTCTTTAGCCATTGTTTTCTATTGTTTCTCTCCTTTACATTTGCAATACCAACTTCTGCTAATATTTTCTTGCCAATCAATCTACTTACTACCTCTTTTAATTTTTATAAAATCTGTTTTTATTACATTCTTCTTTTCTTGCCAATGTTTTCAATTGCTTTTTTGATTCTTCTGTTCAACTTTTACACAATTTCCAAAGTTGCGTTCTCTTCACACAATAACTTTACAATATCATGTTACTATTTGGAGGTTAGATTTTTCCTTATGATCTATAACACACTTTATGTATCTTTAATTTCATATTAATAATGATATATATAGAGAGATACAGATATCTTAATGCGTGGCTACTACCTGTTTTCTAAGCACATCCATCTACCAAGGCAGCTGCTAGATGCTTGCTCAACCCACATTGACCACCTGTCATTTATACTGCAACTAAGCAGAATGGGACTTAAAGTTTCTGGAGGAGAGCACATAATCTGGTGTGATCAATTTTTTTGAACAAAGCCAACATACTCAAACCCTCAGTCATGATGACTTATAACTTTGTGCTAATACAACCATCGATGGATTCTAAATGATTCTGTCTACCCAATTTTGTGATATAGTTTTCAGACACTTTCCAAAAAGTGTCACACCCAGGTCAATATTATCAAGAAGTCACTTCTCTGACAAATTGAACATGATGAGATTCGAACCTGGGGCTCATGACCAGAAAGCAAACATTCTAACTTCTAACACTCAGCCATGCACCCATATATATTTACAATATAATGAACAACACTGGAAATGCATAATAAAATCTCACACCATCAAATAAGATATTAAAGATATTTCTAATAAAGGCAGATATGCTGAAATTCATGTTTATGAAAATATCCTGAAAATATTACCAACTTAAAAGACAAATTTTTAAAATAAAAAAAAAATTACTTAGCTTATATATTTTAAATATGACAATTGTGTATATTTTTCTTTTGTTCAAAGGTGTATTGAAAGTTACACGTAAATACAATACTCAGAAAATAAGGTGTGTGTCTTGGGATGTATCTCACCTGGAATTACTTTTTGGTTCACATGATAAGATTTCAGCAATTTCAGGTGCATTCATTTGGGAGAAACATGAACGCCAACATGGTAACAGCTTCTTCCAGTAGTTGCAGACAAAGAAGTCCTGTTAAAAAGGAAAAATAATAAATGTGGATTTAAATTTCTCTCTCTTTTTTTTTTTTAAAAAAAAAAAAAAAAAAAGAAGAATTTGCCTAAATGACACTAATGGAAAAAGCAGGGTGAGGAGAATGAGAGAGAGATGGGAACATTAAGGGAAATAGTGAAGAGAAGGAAGGGGAGGAAATTCAAGAGAGAAATGTAAAGAATGTAGAGAGGTTGGTGTAAGGGAAGTAGGAAGAAAAATAGAATGGATGGGCAGAAGAAAATGGGAGGGTAATGCAGAGATTAATAGAAAAGTGGAGAGAGAGAGAGAGAGAGAGAGACGGACATACAGATAGATAAGGGAAGTAAGGAGACTAATGGAAGGAGTGGGTGGAGGCAGATAGAAGGGAGAGAATAATGGAAAGAGCAGAGAGAGAAAGAAAGAAAAGAGGAATGTAATACAATTCAAAATGATATTTGAAAGCATAGCCTGAAGTAAAGTGTTACACTTTGAGCATGAATTATTCAGACTAATATCCTCATCTTTGTTATTCTTATTACATTTTAGTTGGTGTGGCCTTTTCCAAGTGTGTTTTATGTTTGGGAATCTTTAAGATTTAAGCAAAACCCTTTTTATCACATTCACAATTTTCTTTTAAGAACAAGTGAAGTGTTGGCAAAATTAACTCTTTAATGCCCACTGTGAAATTGAGTTTTACTTATGAAAATAAAAATCTAGTTGAATTCATTGCCAGGTCAGCTGCTAAGAAAATTGTTTTCAGTGTCATGCGAGACAATTTTTCTCTCTAGAATCTATCATACATAAATCTACCATTCATCCATGCTTAGAATATTTCTGCCATGTATGGTCCGGCGCCCCTTCTATTTACCTTGAGTTCCTTGATAAAATCCAAAAAATCAGCAATATTATTTGTCCTGATCTGGCAGCTCAGCTTCAGTCACTTTTCCACCACTATAAGGTTGCCTCCCTGTGTCTTTTCTATAAATACTTTCATGGTAATTGTACAGATAAGCTCTTCGCTATGGTACCTAGACGTTTTGAATTTAAGCGCAGTACTAGATCTCTTCAATTTACAGTTGAGCGGGTGAGATGTAGCCGTAAATTCTATACTAAGTTTCTTTTCTTGCACGTCTCACTTGTGAACTCCCTTCCAGTTCCATGCTTTCCAGTCAACTTTGATCTGTAAAAATTTAGATGCAATGTCAATCACTATCTACTTTCCTCCAGATTACTCTTTTCTCTTCCCGCTCATTAATAATGTTTCTGTTCCTAATTCTCCCAGACCCAATAACCCCTTTGTGTCTTAGTGGCTTTATTGCCTTATTTAGGATGAAATAAATTAAAAAAATAATTATAGGCTTGTAAAAAGAAAATCAGTATTGTTTTTTTATCTATAACCCATTTTTGCCCATTATTACAAAAATGGCTGGTAGGATTTAGTTTGGTTTGGTTTGGTTTGTTTTACGGCATATCAACCTCAGTGGGTTATTTAATGCCAATAAAATTTTTATTGCTGGTAATTTTTTTTTTCCAAAATTGTATTGCTGGTAATATTTTTTTCTTCGAAAATCTATTTCTGGTAATATTTTTTCTTCAAAAATCTATTTGTTACAGTGGAACACACCTATTCTATAGTTAATAGATTCTCCCACCTATAATAAGTAGGAGTAGTAAGAGTAAGGGAGTCGCTTAGTGGTTCGGTCAGTCAGTCGATGCCGGACGACTGTTAGTCGGATACTAAAGTATCAACGACCACAACTAGATTTCTCTGCGTCATTACCCATTATATCAAGTTCCTAACATTTTGTACGTTGAACCTATTTTAGGACCAACTTAGTACAAATACAAGCCTCCACTGTGAAACTACTCCATAACACTATTGCAGGTAATATTTTTTTTTCAAAAATGTATTGCTGGTAATATATATATATATATTTTTTTTTAATGTATTGCTGCTAATAATTTTTTCCTTCAAAAATTTATTGCTGTTAATAATTTTTACAAAGTATTTCTGGTATTAAAACCTATTTTTACACTTTCATAGTAGTTTAACCTGTTTGGGGAGGGGGTTAACTATTTGCCCATAGCTCGGACCCTAACAGGTGCTACCACCCCAAGTCAGAGTGGACCTTGGAACACCAGCAATTAAGAGGTGGTTCCATGCTCCTCAAAACCTCCTGATAAGGGGCCTTGCTGTTGGACGTAGTTTATTGTCATACCGAGAACTGGTGATGGTGGAGATTAATATATTAAGCCAAAAAATATAAAAATGCTGTAAACAGAATTAGTGCATATGTCCTGATGCTGAAGAAAAATGCAGCACTTGAAATATAATGATTTGGTGCTCACTCTGGCCTTCTTTAGAGGTATTTTATGTTTGGAAATATTTTAGATCTAACCAAAACTCTTAAGTTATTCACAATTTTTTTAAAGAATGACTGATGTGGTGGTTATTGAATAGGATGGGTAGCTGTATCATTCATATGGAGGGATGTCCGTAAGAACAAAGCTGGCAACCCATTTGTGAAATGAACTAACCTGACCACGTGCAAGATGTGGTATATGTGTGAACAATGCAAATATAAACAAGGCTAGCAGGAAGCCTTTAGAAGTGGACAGATTGTAACCCTCACTCAAGCACTCTACATAGTGTCGCCAATAGGATCTTTTTTTTAGAACTGCAAAAATACCAACGTTCAAAATGACGACTTTGAAACATGGAGATGAAACCAGCTATGGACACCAACAATATTTGTAGCTAATGCAACAACTTGTTGAACTACAAAAGGAAATCATCACATTACAAAAGTATGGCAATTTTCTAGAAAAAAGGGAATGCATAAATCCAGTTTCATATGTTTAGATTTTATTAAAATTCTAAAAATAGCTTTTTAAAATAATAAAAATTGCTATGGGAATATACAGTAGTAGAACCATGAAAAGAAAAGCTGTCCTTCTGACATAGTTTTTTTTGCAAGTACTAATGTTAAACTTTGCTTTCTTTACTAGGATTCACACATTTTTGCACTTCCAAATCAGTTCTGCTTGAATTCTCTCTCTTCCAATGAAATGTCTTGTTTTCTTATTTTACCAAACACATTGGAAATAATGTACTTATTCTTGCAAATGTTGATTATGACACATAGCATCCACATGGTGACTTGGTTAAGTGCTTTAACCAGTGTTTCTCAACCAGTGTGACTGGGTGCACAAATGCATCATGAAATGTAGGCAGGTGCACCCCAAGTAATTTATTAATTATTTTTATATCTAAAAAAAAAATCTTCATTTTTTAAAAGCTAGAGACACCATGAACATGGCTTCCATGTCTAAATCAAGTCTTTATCATTTGATATTTTAAACGGACGTTAAATTACTTAAGAAGGATTAGATCATTTTTTGTCTTCCTCAACGGATTAAAATCATCAATCTCTCTAAAAAGAAAAATAGCAGATTCTTCATAAGTCCATTTAAATGAAAACTCTACTGCTTAAATATAAAATGTAATGTCTTAACAATTAAATCCTTATTTCAGGAAAATTCTTTATTATTTTCAAATTTCATGACTAATTTTTCCTTATTAAAATTTAAAGTGTGTCCCACAGTTTTAGTTATTCTACAAGTGTGCCCTGAATTAAAAATGCTTGAGAAACACTAGATTTTACTGTTAATGACTCCCAAATTATATGCATTTAAAAAAAGACCAATTTATTGCATGAATCATTGGGAGAAGCATGTTGGAGCCTTGCTGGCATTTCTTAAAACAATAAAATTACTTGGTGGCACATATTTTCTCTCCAAGTAGCATGCAACATACTGTATTAAGTTACATGGTACTGGCAGCAGAAAGTAATCTCTCATCTGGCCTGTTAAGAGATTGAAAATGTAGATTCATAAAACTATCTTGCTATTACACAAGTTATTGCAGTCTAAATACAATGTTGGTAGGTGTCAAAATTTCCTACAAAATATGGGAGGAGGAGTGATAAAAAGAACCTATGTGAACAAAAGTAAGTATAATTTATTGCCACTCTATAAATCTCCAGTTTGTTCCCATCTAGATTATACTGTGCAAGACTGGTGACTATTCCATCAACAAATTGATTTGTTTTTTATGGCTTATCAACCCTTGCAGGTTACTTAAAGCCAGAAAATATTTTTAGATTGTGTGAATTTTAGGGGGGAGAGAGAGATAATGATTTAGTGATACAAGTCTGTGGGAGAAGAGGTGGATACATACCTTTCCTAAGGGCATTTGTACGTAAGTGAATATAATGAACCTAACTGAAATTGGAACTTGGCTCTCCGATTTACATTTCCGAGCCATTATCCATTGCACCACCTACGCATCCAAGCTTATAACACCTGCTATTTTCAAGCAGTTACCCATCTCATTACTGACCAGTCTTGACATTGTTTAACTTTGGCGATTGTATGTGAACCAGTGTTTGAACATGATGTGGCTATAAGCCTATTCCACCAACAGGATACTGATTTGTTTTCCAGAGATCTTTGAAAATGACTGAGAGATTCAGTGACCTCTTGTATCATGAAAGATTGGTTCAAAGTGGTCTAATGACACTGGAAATGTAAGGACTTAGGGGTGACTTGCTAGAAGTTTTCAAAATGATTCATCATTTGGTTGATATCGAATATAGGAAATACTTTTCATTAAATCAAAGCAACTATTTCTTGAGAAGGCAATCTTTGAAATTGCAGGTTGTACATATGAAGCTGTACTTCTTTATGAAATGGGTGATTAAAAAATTGAATGATCTCCCTCATAATTGTCAGTGAGATCAAACATCAAATTGACAAAGTACTAATGAAGAAAAGAGTAAATTTCATAAACCACAAAATCCTTTTTTCCAGTGGCACCATCCACTATATCTACATTTTTACAGGTCAAATATTTTGTTTGATTGTAATCTCTTATTATTGTAGAACGTTGTATATAGGTTAAAATGTTATGGGTCCTGACCTGGCATCTCGGCTTCAGTCACTTTCCCACTGCTGTAATGTTGCTTCTCTGTGTCTTTTCTATAAATACTTTCATGGTAATTGTTCTGATAATCTTTCCTCTGTTGTACCTAGACTTCATGAATTTAAGCACTGTACTAGACTGACATCAAGATCTCATCAATTTACAGTTGTGTTGGATAGATGTAGTTGTAAGTTCTACGCTAAGTTTCTTTTCTCATACTTCTCACTTGTGGAACTCCCTTCCAGCTCCAATCTTTCCAGCCAATTTTATACAGTAATCAATAATTAATCTTTTAATTTTAACACCTCCAAAACTAAACTTCTCTCCATTAATCATCTAAGAGTCTTCTCTCTACCTTTCATCAGCATGGCTGATGCTAACCTTCAGGAAAGTGACTTGTTGCACCTTCTCAGTTGACATGAAATAGAAAGACTATATTGAACCCATTGCTAAGTCATCTGCCAAAGAAGTCAGTTCACTGTGCGAGATAATCTTTCTTTCCAGAATCTATCTATAAGTCTACCATTCATCTGTGCTTAAATTATTGCTGCCACATATGGTCCGGTGCCTCTGCTATTTATCTTGAGCTCCTTGATAAGATCCAAAGAAGAATCAACAATATTATTGGTCCTGATCTGGCACTTCAGATTCAGTTATTTTCCTACTAGTAATGTTGCTTCCGTGTATTTTATATAAATACTTTTATGGTAAATGTTCTGATGAACTTTGCTCTATGGTACCTAGACTCTATGAATTTAAGTGGTACGGTGTCATGTAATATAGCTCAAAAAAATTGAAGAGCCAAGTTTGAATTCCAGTTGGGTTCATTACATTCACTTATGCACAAACACCCTTGAGTAAAGTATGAATCCATCTCTTCTCACCCCAGCTATGGGTAGAATAGCAGAACAGTCTGGCTTCTGTAGCCTTGGTTGGCAACCAGTCTATTGCAGAAAGAAACAGCAATCTATTGTGGGAAAATCTTCTGGTTAGTCAGTAATGAATTGAAAGTGACATGATCGCCCAAGTGTGTATCATGTATGGCACTTAACTGACTGACTTGTGGCAAGGTCTCAACATTTTACAGTTGAAATGGCTAGATATTACCATAAGTTCTATGCTAACAGCTTCTTTTCTTCCACTTCCACTTCTTGCTTGTGGAACTTTCTTCTAGTTTCTTGATTCACAGTCAAATTTGATCACCAAAAATTTAAATGCAATGTCAGTTGTTATTTCATCTTAATTCCTGGTGTTATTGTTCTCTCTCATTAATAATATTTTTCTTATATTCTTTCACACTCAGTAACCTCCTGTATCTTAGGAGCATTATTGCCTCGCTTGAGGTGAAATGATTTAAAAAGAAAAAAATGGATTCGTACTTTTACCAAGGCCATTAGTGTGAGGGGAACACAAGCTACTTAATTACATTTTTACAGTTAGCCCAATGTTCTCGTCTTTGTTGTTACAATATTGACAATGGCCTTGAGAATTAATGTACTATTGGTCATTGAATTTGGTGACATAGTAATTGTGAAATAAAAAAAAAGGCCATGATCACTTTTTAATCTAATATAACAAACTTCTAATACAATTTAGTTTTAATTGTAAGAACATGAGAATATGCATTTTTTTTAGAGTTGGTGATTATCATTTCCCACATATCAAACAAAAAGTGAAATTTGGTAAGCTGCTTTTATACTTCCTCATTTTGACATAATTTGAGTGAGAGTAAGTTCTAAGATATTTGAGAATGGTTAAAACTAAGTATGTCCACTATTTCGGCATAAATTTTCTATATCGAAGTTTAAAATGAATTTTTACAACGAAAAAACATTTTGAAGATTTCATTTTAGCTTTTAATCGAAAGTTTAATAATTAAATGTACGATTTCTATTAATTAAACAATTCTGGTGTATTTCAGATAGAAACTATATACGTTTGATTGTCAATTTAATTTCAAATTTTAAATTTTCTTAAAAACGGCCATTTTCTTAATTTTAAGAAATTTGTAAACAAACACAAATTTATCGATTTTTAAAATATTTAAAAAATTCTGACACGTTATTTTAGTAAAATTAAAAATTTAAAGTTAAAGTAATCTGATTTCAAAGAAATCTTTTGTTACTTATAGCATAAAAAAATAATATACAACCAATTATTAACGAGCGGTCCCGTTCAGTTGTTCGATCTTACTGATAATGATTGATTGACGAGCCGATGACAGCTACTACTGATGACCATAAATGACATAATTTTTAAGTCTGAGTTTTTAAAAAAATTATTCTATTTGAGTATGACACACACTAAATGGAAATACAATACATAAAATAAAAATTATTTAGTGAAATAGTAAAATGAAAAAAAAAAAAATAATTTAAAATTTAAAGTTTACACTTTTACAGCTGATCGGAAAATACAATCTGTTAATAAACGAAATGTTTTGAAAGGGACAAAACCCTTAGATCACGACCTTGTTATAATAATGGCAATTTTGTATATCATACATGGAAAAAGGAATGTATTAAGTAGCGCAACTAAATTTATTAAACTTAGCAATTTTGGATTCGTAAATTTTTTTTTCACTTAATTAGTACATAATATCGAGGAACCCTCCTAATACAGAGCTTTATTTAAAACTATTATAAATTATTATAATTAAAATTTCTTAAAAAAGGAAAAAAATTCTTGTAAAATTAATTATTCATCAGAAAAATTATTTCTTCAGACAATTTTTACTTATTTACAAAAAGCAATTAAAAGCTTTTCTAATTAAGTAATATCATAGTTTTATTGATTCATTATTTTTCAATTCAGAGCAGATTTTCAGTTAAATAGCTCAAATTTGTGAAAGAAAAGTAGATTATTTACCATCTTCGAAGACTCCTACTTTTAAACAAAAAAAAATTCAGGAACCAAAAAGGTTTTGGGCGAAATTTCATTAAATTAAGTAAATGTGGGGTAACATATTTTAAAAAATATAATTTTTACAAAATTTTCTAAAAAAAAAATATTTCAAAAATAATTTCATTCATTTGTGAATAAGTCCTGAAAATTTCATTAAGATTGGACAATTATTTTATTTTACAAGAATTTCCAAATCAATATGTTTTCAACGGTAAAAAAACGCAAAAAAAACTATGTTATTTTAAACGTCGCCGCGATGACGTAAACAAAGACGATTTTAACCAAAATTTCGAACGTGTTAGAAAATATTAAAAAATTTCAAAAATAATTAAAAATACTTTTTTTTCTTTCATCTAAATAATAACATAAGCATTTTGACGATAATACTTTATTTTCTTTTAAGTTTGTGGCATTTTCATTTTACGCTATGCTGTTTTTCCAACATAAAAACATCCATTAATTACTAAACAGTCTGTGATTGTTTGCCAACTAAAAGCGAAGATTAATAAATAGGCAAATAGTAAAAACAGATTACACATTTTTTTCAATTTAAACCGGGTTTTTTTTTAAAGCCCTCACTAGGCGGCTAAAAAAAATCGATACAATTTTTATTTCTTTCAGTTATAATTTTGTGAACACGAGAAAACAAATTTAGGGTATTGTTATTTTTATTTTAAATAAAATATGACCCTTTCTTTTTTACTGAATAAAAGGAAAACAAAAAGGTATCTTAGTTTACTGATTGAAACGATTTTAACATACCAAATACTGAATTACCTCCCTTAGATTGCTTACCTTAGCTACATAATTGAATCGTTGGGTTTTGTTTTTCATAAACAAATTACATAATTAAACTTTTGTGACTACTCTGACGATTTGTCAACTTTACCTACTTTAGCGCAGTTTTTCTTCCATTAATAAAAAATGAAATATAATTCAGCATCAAGAATTAAAATAAATATAAATAAAAATAAAATGAGAGGGTTAAAAAAAAACGTACGAAAATGTCTTGCTCTTGCACCAGAAATAAAACTAAAACACAGCATCAGAAGTGTAATATATTTTTAACCTTTATTTTTTTTCTTTAAAAACAAAAACAAAAAAAAAACTTAATTCCCGTGGGGAAAAAAAAAAAAAAATTCCACGGTTTGGATTGATTATTGGTTTTCGAAATTCTGAACATACATTATTTCCAAATTCTGTATGTGTCAGAAGTCAATTTAAGAAAGATAATTTGACTTTGGTAGCCGAAAATCGTTTCGAATGCTAAAAAAGTAAAAAACATATCTGGATCCAACTGCAACTTTCTGCAGAAACTAACTTAATTCAACGTTTCAGATTCTAATTATTTTTTTTTATTATTAATTTACACTACAAATATAGCCCATTTTCATTTTTTAAAGTAAAATTATTGAAGTCTCAATTTTAGATTCTTTACTTGTTTTCTTTTATTTATTGCAAGAAAAAGTTTAATTAATTTATTAAAAAAAGTGAATCATTTTACCCAGAAGTGAAACACGCGGAAAATGCGTCCATACAGAAAAATAAACTTTTAAAATCATTGTTCATAAATTAAAAAATAGTTTTTAAAAAAAAAAAAAAAAAAAAAAAAAAAAAGACAAGTGATATTAAAAAAAAACAACAAAAAAAAAAAACAAATTACTTCAGGTGTGAGTGGGGTCGTACAACTCTATCTCTAGAATGAATAAACATAACTTGTAAAATTCCATAAAAAGCGCGTGGTAATTATTCAGCATTAAATATGGCCTCAAAAAACACCGAAAGAGAACATGATTGCCAATTCAATATCTTTTTTTGAATGTACTATAATCGTATTCAGAAAAATCCTTAAATATCTACAAGTACTAAAAAGGTTCGTGTTCATAATGTTGCAATCCTTGCAGGGGGTCTCCAAAACTTTAAAATTAAAATATAGAAAATGTAGAGAAAAGGAAATTGTTACCGAGACATAAACATCGGCTAACCATCCGAAGGAATCGAGGAAATACAATATTTTATCGATGTGAAATTTAATATCTACAATAGATTTATTACAGGCTGGTGGGGATAGCACACAACAGCTAGAAGTCGCCATCTTCCTTTTAACCATTGCACGGAGAGTCTGCAATAAGCGTATAGAAAGAAAAAAAAAAAATTAAAATATACATATTTTTTTTTTTTGAAAATTGATATAAATAATTTTTATCAATTGAATTGCATACTTTGTAAATATAATTTTTTTTTTGTCAATTTTCTATGATTTTGGTAACTTTTCCACACAATGGTTAATTCATGTGGTCTTTACGATATTGCTTTTCTTGAAATATTTGTCAAGAGACAACTCATTTGGGTGTTTCAAATATATCGTCTGCTAGAAATAGGTAATTTTACAAAGTAGACAATATATTTTTAAAATCTTTGGAATATATTTTTAATTGTTCTGTTGAGAAAGTAAGGAATTGACTTCTTTACCTAAGAAAAAAATTATAAATTTTTTTTCGTGAGTGTCGAAGCAGTTTTTTAAATTAATTTTCTTTTTTAGTAATTTTGAGATTTTAAATTTATAAAACTCAATTTTACGGTTATTTAAAAAGAAAATAACATGCGATCATTTAAATAATGATCATAAGAAATTGCTAAATCGTTTTATTAGAGAAGGGAAGAGTAATATTTATTTAGTTCCTCTTTTTTTATTTTTTCGAATAATTTTGTTATGTAATTAATTCAGTCATTAATTGATTTCATTCATTAGCAGTTAAAATTTGGTCGCTCCGTATTTTCGCATTTATTTTTATTTGGAAATATTTTAAAGCAAAATTAACTTTTATTTTTAGCACTTGACTAAAAATTACATATGGAATTTTTAAAGTAATTTTTTTTATTGATGAAGTTGTCACATAAGATTTCTAAGAAAAACAAATTTATTTTAAATTTGTTTTTTTTTTTTTACTGGTCACTTTGTGTCGCTTCTTGTCTTTTTAGTGTGACTGAATAAACTGCTCGAAAATTTTATAATTACAGAATACACTACCTGAGAAACACCTGATTACAAAGCGATAATCAATAAAAAAAAATCAGTAAATTATTGATTCATTGAAGGAACCAATTAAAACTAATTACAACATAAAGAAGATCCATATTTTTAAATTTTTTTAACTAACAACTTATAATGTTCGTGTCTTATGTCAATTCTGCAAATGTATACCAGAATTCAGACTGAGGTTTCCTGATAAATTTGTTGACATAAATTACTTTAATTGAAATGTTTAAAACTAAAAGTATAAAGATATTATAATAAGAAGATGATATTTTGGGGCCCGTCGGACTGTCGATCTAACCACTGAGCTCAGTTTGCAACTCAGAGTGTACGCCCTTGTATTATGCCATCTTTTGCCAAAAGGATTCTTTTTAATCTTACGCCGTCTGTAGCGTGTTTCTAATTTTATTTTTAGAATATGCTAAAAATTGATGCTTTATAGTTTTTATTCTTACTACTAATATTCAAAATGATATTCAAATCCTTAAATTGCTCATGAAACCAGCTTATGGGTGGGTACAAATTTTGATTTTTCTTCTACAACTCATTTGAAGTTGTTTTTTTTCATAATTTGACTTGCATGGATTTATTTTTTAACATTTAAAAAGAAAATACATTTATTTGCTTATTCAGTTTTCTTCAGTAACTAATTACTGAAGTGGAGCATCATTGAGATTTTTTAACGACTTCCACATTTTTGGACATAAAATATCAGAATCGTAGATTTTTTTCAGGAAGTCGTAAAAATAAGATCTAAAAAGTTCTTAAAACACTTTGAAACATGATTGCTAATTCAATATCTTTTTTTTTAATGTACTATAATCGTAAAATTGAATAAAGCAACCACTTTAAATTTGAGGAAAAATGAGTCTTTTTACAGTTACACCCCTCGTCTTACTCTTGTTTTAAGATTTTCATGGCGTTAATTGAACTGTTGTCATCAAAGACAAGGGGATGATACCACGGTTTTCATTACTAAAAATGAAGTTGAAGTTTTTTCATTTCTCGATTTAGTAAGCAAGTATAAGTTTTGAAAATAAATATATGTGGATAGTTCTAGTAGTTTTACAGTTTCCCCAAATTCATTAAAAAATATCCACATGACTGGAAAAAAATGCCTATTTTTGTAACATTTTCTTTTGATAAAAACGAGAAAAAATGCTCTTTATATAAAAAAAAATATAAACCTGATTTATTGATGTGTCCCTGTTATTATTTTTCACTTTTGCTCTCTTCACTTTTTTAAAACAAACAAAACTGGCGCCCCGGATAGTTGATTGATTGACTTCCTTATTGTCTTTTGGTTTGGCTGCATTTATTTTCATTTATATTATTTACTTTTTAGTTGCTATTATTTTTCAAATCTTTCAGTTTTCTATCACCGATTTTTTTTAATAGCTAAAAAAGCTAACGTTGAAATAAATTTTGAAAGCCGAATAATGATAACCTGCCTCCTAAGAGGGTGTATGTCAACAACTATTGCTCAATGTTACACAGCAACGGAAAGAGATAATGTTTATAAACCACGTGTACAAAATGTATTTTTAGGTATTATTTATGTCTTTTCAACAGTGTAACTAACGAACCATATGCTACTACTCTCTACATCGATACTGAGATATTCACAATATTCAGTGTGATGTTATAATTTGACTATGAATCACCTTTATTTGACAATTAAGAAAAGAATGTAAGTTAAATTATAATTTTTACTTCATATCTCATTCATATTTTGCTTTTTCACTCAACAAAAAAAGGTGATTAATTATCGAACTGCGTTAATGTCGAAATTCTTAAAATTCTCGTTTTTTTTTTAGCTTTTTTAGACAGTTTTTTTTTTTTACTTATTAATAACTAATTTAATATTTTTTTGCTCTTATTTTTTTTACTTAATGTCACTTGATGAAGAGCCCATCTGCACAAAATTCTGGAAGTTGTGCATGAATGTATTTAATTAGGTATTTAATTTTAATTTGATTTTTAAAAAAATCAACGAAAACAATCACAATAATAATTAACCTATTTGCCAAATACTTTTTTTTTAAAATTATATTTTAACGTATTGCAAAAATGTTCTTATAACAAACTTTTTATCCCAACAAGGTCATGACGAAAATACACCAAAAATGAAAAATCTATATACTGACCAGAAGAAAATCTGATCTGAAATTCTTGTTTTTTTGATTTCATTTATTTTAGTATCTCCTGCCCTTAAAATTTTCTAAGGTCTTCTTAACTAAAACATAAAAACCTTTTACAAATTTTGATATGGTAGATTTTTCTCGTATGTTCCAACTCAAGAAAATAATTTTTGACGGTCCTTTACTTTTTCATTACCGGAAAAAAAAAAAAAAAGACTTAAAGTTTAAAATTTAAAAACCTCCCCTAATTCGGTATAAATTTTCGATACTTAAGGTTTAATGAATTTTTAAAAATGAAAAAAGAAGCATTCTTGAAGATTTCATTTTAGCTTTAATTGAAAGGAAAGCTAAAGGATTAAAATTAAGAATTTACTATTTTCCAGTAAGTAAAATATTTTTTGTGCATTTCAAATAGAAATTTATATATAGACAGGAATCTCAAGTTTTTGGCCGATTTCGGAAAATTTTTAAACTTAAAAAAATGTTCTTTTGCATAATGTCCTGTTTTTTTTTTTTTTTTTTTTTTTTTTAAGCTTTTCTGCTTTGTTTGCGTTTTTTTTTTTTTAGCTTTGTGTAATTAATTGTAAAAATATAATTTAATTTTTTTTTCTTTCACATGATGACCACATTTACACTAATGATCATCTTTTAAGTCGAATCGAAATGCTGAATATTCAATTCATTTCTAACTTTTTTAACATAGTTAGTTTGACTTTTTTTTTCTTCTAACAGATGTAAGAAAAAAATGAGTATTTATTTTTCTTATCATCCAAAGCCCGGGATTGAATGGCGTGTAATGTACGTATAAACAAACAACAATCTCGAAATTTAGTAATTTTGAACCTAATATAAGAAATGATTTTAAATATTTATTTAAATGCGAGCAAAAGTTTAAATTGCATAGTCGGAAGCATGACATTTTTTTTTTTTTTGGTATAAATCTGCCGAGTCTTTCCCCTTAGATTTTGTTTCCTCGTTCAAATAGAAACTTTTTTTTTTTTTAGTGTTTAAAACGTGAGAAAGTAGTTGAAAAACTAGCTTCATTTTTAATTTTACTAATTATCTAGAAAGAATGAAGATTCCAGAATGAATTTTTAATTGATTGAAACAATTATATTTTCTAAAAACTGAAATTAACAGATTTTAATGATTTACTTACTAATTACTACTTTAAAATTTAATCTCATTTTTATTTTGTCTGTTTTTATTTGTGTGGTATGTCGTTAGTGTTCGTTTAAACTAAGTTTACTAAGTACCAACACGAACTTTAAAAAAAAAAATCCTCGAAAACAAGTATCTTTGAACTTAAATTTCGATTTTATTTGAAAGGCAATATAATGGCATCTCCAAATTAAAAGAAAAATTAATTTCCGTATATGTTTGCATTTAAAAAAAATTATTGGCACATTTTGTCATCACTCATCCTGCCGCTATTTGTATGCAAAAATATAAAAAAAAACAAATTTAAAATTCTTTTTAAAATCCAATATTTATCCTAGAGACGTGTTTCGAAGTCTATTATTAAATTAAACTAGATTTTAAAAATAATTGGTTACCTTTTTACTTAAAATGGAACGGACATGACGTTTTATTTGCACACAGTAGCCTGTGAGGTCAAAGGATAGTTAGAAATACTGTAATTCTACCCCTATCCGAAAAAGTGCACGAAAAAATTAAAAAAAACCCTAAATATGGAAGACGAGAGGTGCAGTAATCAAGAATTTGCTATTTATGTTTAAAAATATTTATTAAACTTAGTACAATGAATAAATTTAAAGGCATTAAGGTACTACCAAAACAAAAGTATAAATACAATTTGTATTAGATTAATAATGTGAAAAGAAAAACATTTATTCTAAGTAAATTTTAAAAAATTACAGTAAATTATTCTTTTATGGCACAAGACGATTTTGTTGGTTAGCAATTACCTTCATTGAGTGTCCTGGGTAAGACAATGAACTACATCCGTGTCCTGTTTGAGGAGAGTGGAACCATCTCTTAATTGCTTGTGTTCCTAGGTTCACCCTGACCCTGGGTTGTAGCACCTATCAGGGTCCCAGCTATGGGCAAATAGTTAAGTCCCAAACTGAGGTCAAAACACTATGAAAGTGTAAAAATAGGTTTTAATTCCTGCAATAAATTTTCTGTTAAAAAATAATTACCAGCAATACATTTTTGAAGAAAAAATATTGCCAGCAATACATTTTTGGAAAAAATATTACCTGTAATAAAAATATTGTTGGCATTAAATAACTCATTGAGGTTGATATACCGTAAAATAAACCAAAAACCTACATTAACCAACTATATTATGACTGCCCTAATGACCTTTCCTGACCTTGATGCAGGACTGGGATAGTTGGTATGATAGACTCAGGAATGTCTGACAGAAATAAAAAAAAATTCTTTTATGCACATGAAATACTTTAGTTTTTTAAAATATTTTCTTGGTGGCAAGGGGAACAAATTATGCATGAAAAAATAAGACAAACATTTGTTTTTAAAATAATAAACACATAAAATAGTAATTTGCATCTAATTACTTAAGTAACTATTGGATATTCTTGTATACAAGAATCTGTAAATGAATGTAGGAAAATAGACATGCGAAAAAAAACAAAACAAAACATCTGTACTACTGAATCGGAAAACATTGCTTTTCAAGACAAAAATTGACTGAATGGGATATATGAAATCAGATTAATTCATAATACTCTTCCATTACTGGATATTAGTCAAAGCAAGAAACCAGAATTATGTCCTGTTTGTACATCCATGTCACAAATAATTTACCAGTTGCTAAAAGGAAAAAATAAAACTCTTAAAAAAACGATTGACACTTGATAATGACATTAATCTTTACACTTTTTTTAATCTTCAAACGTCATTATTTAATAAAATCTTGTAATGAACAGCAACGGAATAAATTTCAAAATCACACTGAAGAATTACAAGTAAATTTTTTATAAATATTAATTTTCTTTCTGTTCAGTTTAAAAGAAAGTAATGTTTTATTAAATTATGCAATCATGATGTCTCAAAAAAATTATTTTTGGAATTGGATTGAATTATTTTTGGTAAGTTGCAGGCTGTATTTTTCATATGTTCACACTCAATTATTTTACTAGAATGATATCTTCAGGGATTTTTCTTTATAAAAAAATGATGCCCTTCCCCTTACAAAGTACACACAAGATATCGAAACGGGAGTGGGTGAAACTTACCCTCCTAAAAATATTTCCTCAAAGTTTTTTAATAAAATAACCTATCCAGTAAAAAATTCATTAATTAATAAGTACTGAAAATTTTGTTTGAATTGGATAATTACCTGATTTTGGGCAAATATTTTAAAACTTGGGAGTGATTTTTTTTTTTTTTTTTTTCCATTTTAGGAAGAAAATTGACCATTTTGGTAGTACCTAATATAAACTATCAGTACTGAATTTTTTTTTTTTTTCATCCTCTTTTTTGTCAGCCTTTAAGTTTAAGGTGTATTGGGTCATGAAAACACATTATAATAAGAAGCTTAACCTATAATAAAAAATTTAAACGCTTCTGGTTTGGGAATTATGGCTCCTGATTTGGAATAATCATCTATACAAATTACAAAACCATAAATCTGGAACTGTTCTTACAAATTGTTAAAAAAAACTCATATAAATTCTATTTTTTTTTTTTTTTTTTTTTTTGTTGTAATTATTAATTTTTAATTAGTCTATCTGTTTATAAATGGATTAATTTCTCATTTACATATCACAATCCCCGGAGACTTTGTGGTTGTTCCATATTTTCATTGATTAATTCACTCAGTTTAATGCAGCTATTTTAGTTTTTACTTGACAAAACATTTAAATATTTTCTTTTCTATTTCAAACTTTTACATTGTTGTCATTACATTTATTTTTTAAAATAATTTTTTTTTGAGTAAGAAAACTTTCTTTCTTTTTTTTTTTTTTTTTTTTTTTTTTTTTTGAGTAATAAAACTTTTTTTTTTTTTTTTTTTTTTAATAATTTGAAAGTCAAATCATTTTGCAAAACAGATTTTTCAAGCCTATTTACAACAGATTTACAAATTCTTCCTTCTCACCAGTCATGCTGGGGGCACCATCTGTTGTGGCAGATACTTCTTTTGAAATGTGAATTTGTCAAGTAGATAATTCATTCACAACTGCTTTACATATTTCAGCCCCGGTAGTACACTCAAGTAGTGTTACAAGGGCAACCATCTCTGCACATACTTCATCATCCCTACAAAATCAAGAAAATATGGCTAACGTAGCTGATGGTGTAATGTCTGTACTTTCATCAACACAAATACAAAAAAACTTACATGAAGACAAATTTTTTGTCAGTTGTTCAGCTATATTCCTTTCCAACGTAAGTATCCTATTCTTAACTGTTTTCCTACTCACAGACAAATCTTTAATGCGCTGAATAATCTTTTCCTTTTCTAAACAATTGTCAAAAAAAATGCACACCTTCTAACCAAGCTTATTTAATATTTTCCTATCATTGAGTGACTTTTCATGTTGGAAAATAACTTTTGAAACCTTAAAACTAGATGCAACTAAGTTGGAACTGGGTCTACCTGAAATAAAGTTCATAAAAGTATCAACTAGTTTTTTTGCCTTGCAAAGTTCATGAGAAATTAATTCTTTGTTCCTCCTCAGTTTTATTGCTTAGGTTTTTAAAATTTTTTCAAAATGTTTCTTTTATAGAAGATGACTTACAAATGATTGTTTCATAACAGAAAATGCATAAGGCTTTATGGTCTTTCTTAATCATGCCAAATTTTTCAGTCCAGTATTCTTTAAATTCTCTAATATCCTTATCATTTGAATGATATCATTTCTTAGCTGATGATTGTGACATTTGGCACAATCTGTAATGGGTAGAAAATAAAAATAAATGAGATAATGATATACATGAAAAAGAAGAATAAAAAAAGTCAAAAATGGAATCTAATGAATAAGTTTCGCATGCCATGTCTAGGGTCTCTATTCAAATAATTAATTTACACTTTTTTTTTTTTTTTTTTTAAACCTTGCACACAGATAATTAAATCATAAACACATAAATGGATATTTTGCAAATATTTTATTAATTTTTCTCTCTTAACAAGATAAACAATCTTTTTTTTCTTTTTCTTCTAGTGTGGCTTGCAAGATAATTCACTTTGTATATTAGTAATCTTTTAAATTAACCCTGTCACAACATGCTACTTTATATTGTTAGTAGTCAGTAAAACTGATAATTACCAGCATTACCTTTGCCACTTCCAAAAAAAAAAGATTTAATGGTTGGTGATTTGGATGATGGAGACGAGGTATTTGAAGAAAATGAGAACTGAATGAGATTGTATAATTGTATGTTAATATTTATGACAGTTTTATAGTAAAAGGATCATTATTAAATTAACTTGTGACTTTCTAATAATGATGGTGGGTTGGGCAATATACTGAAATGATCTGTGTGATGAACCTACTAAAAAATGTGTGGTCCATCTTTCATAATACTAGCAAACATTGAATAGTTTGTAAACTTATGTCATCCAGGCAAATCATTCTGTTTCATTATATCAACTAAACATAGCAAAAAGAAAGTAAAAACACTTGGAAATTCTTATTCCCCTTGTGTCATTTTCTGAAGTTTTATTTATTTAAGCAAAGTATTAGCATATTCTCCCCTAACAATATATCACCATTCTGGGTAGGATGATAAACTACACCTGACAGAAAGTCCTCTGATTGGAAGGTTTTGAGGAGTGTGCAACCACTTAATTGCTGTTGTTCCCAAGTCCACCCTGACTTAGAGTGGTAGCACCTGTTAGGGTCCTAGCTATAGGCAAATAGTTAATCTCCAAACTGGGGTCAAAACATGAAAGTATAAGAAAAAATTTTATAGTAAAAATATCAGCAATACATTTTTGTAAAATAAATTACTAATGCTCCAAAGAAAATTAAATTTTAGCATTAAATGACCCATAAAGTGTTGATATGCTACTAAACAAACAAAAATATATCATGAATTGCATTTGGTATGCTAACATTTACTCAGATACCATAGACTGCCAGTACTTGTACCTAGGCAAATGTTGTGATATTAAATGTAAATAGATGTGTGTTGCAGTTATATACTAGCCCATTCTCCCCTTGAACTACTGCTAGACTTGTTGGCCCTATTTTCATGGCTTTTAGTTAATATGAAAGGAATTGAGTCAGATGTAGGTTAAAGACAAAGGGTAATTTAATTTGTAATATTCTGGGATAATTTATTTTTTGAAATGAGTTGTTGTTAATGGAATTGCCCACATAATTTGTTGCTAGAGGAGAGTTCAATTGAGAGACAGTAACTACAGTGAATATTGACTAGCTGCAGATTAAATCTTTACATGGGACTGAAGTTCTAGCAGTATATCCAGTGTGGTGATGACGCAGACTTGCTGGGTAGAGGGGTTACTAGACTGAAGTTTATGACCAGAACAATGGAATCAATATATACGTGTTTATAACCAAGTTGAAGGACATCAGCTGTGGTCTTACCTGGATGAGGACGGCTCTACCAAGTCTATTTTGCTCAAGACACACTATATATGAATGAATATCTCTCCAAGTTTCAACTAAGGCAGACATGTGAAAGGAGTTGGTCAAGTGTTCAGTTGAATAGACCCTATGACCACTCCCATTCATAGGAATAAAGGTGTTAAGACTCATTGTTTTTTAAAATTGCATTTTATATGATTTATTCTCTTTCTTTAGATGGATTTTATTTACTGTAGTTTTTTGTTAGATTTTTTTTTTTTGTTTGTCATTATGTAATCAGATGAATGTGATATTTTATTTTTTATTTACTTTTTTTAATGATTTCACCCCAAGCAAGGAAATAAAGTCACTAGGACACAAGGGGCTACTGAATGTTAGAGAATATGAGAAAAATTATTATTAAGGAGATTGGACAATAAAAGAACAAGAATAGACAGAAGATAACAATTGTCATCGCATTAAAAATTTTCCAAGATCAAACTTGACTGAAAAGCAGAAACTGGAAAAGAGTTCTACAAGTGAGAAGTGCGATAAAAGAAACTGTAAGCATAGAACTTACATCTAACCTTTTTAACTGTAAATTGATGAGACCATGCTGCCAATTCAGTACTGTCTAGTTTAGGTGCCATAGAGGAATATTACCATAAAAGTAATTTTAAAAAAGGCAGAGGGTAGCTTTGTTGTGGCAGTGAGATAGGGATTGAAGCTGAGATGACAGGTCAGGACTGATTACATAGCAGATTCTTTGAATTTTATCAAGAATCTATAAATATATAGCAGGATCATCAGATATTCAAAGCAAGGATTATTGTTTATTATTTATAAATATCTAAGATTCTGGCAAGAAAAATTGTCTCTCATGACATAGTGAACCATCTTTCTTAGCTGCAAATTTAACTGATTCAATGTACTTTTTCCATTTCATGTCAACTGAAAATGTTAGTCTGAGAAAGTGCAATGAGTCACTCTCCTGGAGGTTAGTGTCAACCATGCTGATGGAAGGCACAAAGGGTTCTCTCAGATGATTAAAAGAAAGCAGTTTCGTTTTGGAGGTGGTAAAATTAACAAGCCATTCCTTGCCCTATTTAACAATAGATTATAGGTCACTTTTTAGATCAGCTGTCAATTTGACTTTATCAATCTGATCAGATTTACTATTAAGGCAGGAGTAAATAGTTGTCATCAGTTGAGATACCGAGTTGAGAACTGATGTCATCAGGAAGGTCATTTATGAAAATTAGAAACGACATAAGTAAGAGTAAGAACCCTGGGGGACACTTGAATTTATGCAAAAAAGATCTAGAAGAGTGGCCATTCAAGATAACTTTCATTTTGTGATTTGATAAGAAAGACTGAATCAGTTCAAGAATTCATCCAAAAATTCATACAGTAACCTTTTTTCCCTAGAAATGTCATAAAAAAATGAATAAATCTTGTAATTCAATACTTGTCTGTTGTTCTAAAAAAAATACACTCACTTTATATAGCTTTTTATTAAGCTTAACTTAATCTAGCACAAGGCTACTATGGAAAGACACTCAATGAGTAGTATATGTGATTATCTTGCTAACCTTTTTTTTGTTGGTTTTTTGGTATATAGGTTTAACCTAATGGTAATATTAGCTTTTTCCTTCCGAGGAAAAATTTGGCATTCATTGACTGAGGAGTTTGTACTACTTTTGGTTGAAATTTAAAAAAAATTTTCTCTTAAAACAATTTTTCAGGAAAACTGGTTTCTCAATTCCAGTAACTGCTATCGCTCTTTTCACTATTGATGTTGGGTGATTCCAGCCAAACTTTTTGTTTGGAGTAGTGTAGAACATCAACATCTTGATTTGTCAAGATAGTGTTACAGAAAGTAAGAGGCACAGATTATGCAGCTATGTGAAGAAGATAACAGTTAACCCTAGACTTGAACAGGTTAAAATTGTAGCGATGAGGGAAGCAACCTCTTGGGAGTCTGATGTTAAAAGATTTTGAAGTATAAGACATGATAGATAAGGGTTATACTTTGCAAAATGAGTGAGTTATTTTAGTTACATGTACCCAGCTAGAATTTTATATCTTTTAAACATGAATACCAGTCAGAAATGTGAGGGTAGCACAGTGGCTATTGGTGTAAACAGTGGAATTGAAGAGTTAAAATTCCTGCCAAGTCTACTACATTCACTTTCACACAGATACTCTTGACAAAATCATGACTTCATCTCTTCTCCCTCTAGCTTTGTTAAATAGCAGGGTAGACTAGGCTCTCTAGCATTGAGGCAAACTTTGAATTCCAAACTGTCAAGAAGACAACAGGAAATCATTTTCCAAAGAAGGCATTGTAATTCATGGATAATAAAGAAAAGGAATATGTGGAGAGTCTTGATCACTCGTGTCCTGAAGGAATATAGCATTTAAAAAAAAAGAAAAAACAAACAAAATGTTTTTTGTTATGGATTGATTTATCTGTTCTTTCCACAGTTTTGTTCAAACTGTATCGGGTAAAGGTGTCACATATTGGGAATATAAATACCCCGTGTTTCCAAAAGGAGGCATCTTATCTAATAAGTAGTCCATTTCTTTGTTACTTTCTATATTAAAATGGAACAAAATAAAAGGAATACATTCAGGAATTAGGGTTTTTTTTTTTTTTTTTTTTTTTTTTTTTTAAAATGTCAGTTGATTTTTCATTTCACCCCCAAGCAAGGTGGGATTTACAGAAAATGAAAGTGAGTGAAAAGACTGGGTAAACGGGGAATTGAGGAAAGCATAAAAGATGAATAGGATTCAAGAAGATAGAAGATGGTGATTAATGTTGAATTTAAATTTTTGAAGGTTGTAGTTTCCAGG